ATCATTTTTTTCTTTTCTTGACATGCATGTGTGTATTTATGAATAAAAATAAACATTGTGTGCACATTTGTTATTGTAAGAGCTGTTTACTTATGTATTCTTTTAATATTTTAGCATTTTATTGCTTCTCTGCCTTTTGTACTTGATCAAGTGTAGTATCTGTTCTTATTAGTTTAATATCTGATGCGTCCTCTAAATGAGGGCTACACATTAAATTGATATTTACAACAAGGAGACGGAAGAGGAGCTTGCTCCGTAAGCTCCACGCATCAACCTGGTATTGCAGTACTTCTGGGAACATTGTACCTCCTTTAGAAAGCCCCACAACCCCATCTTCAGCATGTTCTACTGCTGCATCATTGCCTGGTTTGGGAATTGCACTGCCTCCGACTGCAAGTCCCTACAGAGAATAGTGAGGACAGCTGAGAAGATCATTGGGGTCTCTCACCCCTCCATCTGGAACATTGCTGCTAATACAGTGCTTGCACTTTCTTCACTCTGGTACTGTGTACCTACCTCAGGAACTGCTGTGTTCACGTATGTTACAATCTGACTGCGTAAACTCACAGATCACAGCATGTTAAATAATCTTTGCACCTTATTCCACTACCTCATACTCAGAAATGAGTGCTGTGTCGGCGCTGCACTGTCCTGTCCGTTTACTGTGTCTGAATGTCTGTTTTATATATTGTATTTATTGTATTGTTTCTAGTTTGATTTTTTTTTTCTTTGTACTGTCTATTTTGTTCCTTGTTGCACCGTGTTGTTCCTTGGAGGAACGTAATTTCACTCCACTGTGTACTTGTACATAGATGGAATGACAATAAAAGCCTCTTGACTTGACTTTAAGGCTTTTGAATAGTGGAATAAGAGGAGGTCAGTGTGTGTGGTACAAATGGAAAGAACTATGAAACTATAAAAAAGTATAAAAATGAAGGTTATACTGTATGCCCTGCAGTAGTATGTTGAAGGTAGAGTAAGCAAAACTTTTTTCTTTGTATTATTATTATTGTTGTTATTGTTTATGACACAAATAAAAATTAAATAATGAGTAACTTAAAGTTGGTTAGATGCTACGTCGTATTAAGTCTATGATATAGAGCCAGGCATTAGGCCCATGATGCAGTTAGAGTAAGTAGGCCTTACGCTAATGCTGAAGTGCCATCAAGTACAGGTAGCTAAAGAGCTAAACCTTAGGCTATTGCTGCTGGTAGAATAAGCAAAAGTAGTTTTATATAGATTTATCACTAAGCCTCTGGCTTCTAAAGTAGTCAGAGTTACTAAAGGTAGCTGTGGAGCTTATCATGAAGATAGCGTTAGTGTAGGGCAAAGCCTTAGGCTTCAGAAGAAGAAGAGTGAACAAAATTAGCTTTCAAACTAGGCCTCAGGCTTAAAATGTAGATGGAGTAAATGATAGCAGGTTAGAGTGAGTAGCAGTAGCTATGGAGCTAAAGTTAAATGATGTTAAAGTAGGGCAGGGCCCCAGGCTTGTGAAGGAGTAAGAGTGAGTGAACTGAGATGTATAGCGAGCCGTTAGACTTATGATGAAGTTGTAGAATGACAGCAGGTGCAGAGCTAGGCTTTTAGCTGATGATACGGTTTAAGCAAGCCAGAATCAAGCCTTTCATCTGTACACTGGCTCAAAATGTAGTTGGAGTAAGTTATATTAGGTTTTTGGTTTATGGTCAAGTTGGATAATGTCAAAATAGGTTTAGGGCAAGGCCTTAGGCTTATGATGAAGTCAGATTAAGCAAAGGGAGGCATCTAGCTAGGTTTTGTGTCTTTGTTGTAGTAAAGTAAATAACAGTGGATTCATGAGGAGATAAGAATAAAACATAAATCTAAGGTGTAGCTCTATAAGCCCTTTTACTTACTCTGTATATATTTTAAGTCTAACGCTTATGATGAAGCTAGTGTAAGCAAAAATAGGCTTTCAGTGAGCACTAAAGCTTATAATGTAGAAAGCTTAAGAAAGTGTTGCTATAGAGCTCCGTCTTAGGTTTATGAATAAATAAGAGATTGTAAAAGTCAGTATAGGGTGATGTCTTAGGCTTCTAAAGAAGTTAGAGTTAGCAAAATGAGATTTCCAGTAAGTGATGGTAGGTTTAGAATGAGGTCCTATAGGCTTGTAGTGTAGTTAGTGTGAGAACGAGATGTTATAGTGCTACAGATAAAGAATGTCAAAGTAATCTTAAGGCAGGGCCTCAGGCTTGTGAAGTAGTAAGAGTGAGTGAAAACTGAAATGTATAGTGCTCCAATAGACTTATGATGAAGCTATAAAATTAAAATCATGTACAGAACGAGGCTTTAAGCTCATGTTGTAGTTAGAGTAGGCCAAATTTGTCTTACATCTAGCCTTCAAGCTTAAAATGTATTTAGAGTAATAGCAAATTTAGAGTTAGACCTTTTTTGAGGTTTGTGGTGAAATTAGTTAAAGTGAAAGTAGATTTAGGGCAAGACCTTGACCGTTGCTGAGGTCAGAGTAAGGTGATGACCCCTCCTTGCCCATCCCAAATGGTTACACACCATTATCTCCAACTTTCATGACTACTTTGAATACCATTATATCCAAACCTTACAAAATTTCTTTTATTATCGTTCACATCATTGTTAACGTCATTATTTTTTCTTATCAAGAATGATTCCATTATTTCCAAACCAAAAAGTAACATATTTTCAAAGATGATCACAGGCCAAGGCCACAATCAGGCTAAGGCCTTTACGCTTTATTGACTTTGTGTATTACTACTATTCAGTATGGTTACAGCTAGGTCTGTCTATGTATGTTCTTTTCTCCTTCAAAGACATTTTAGTCTTAAAATGGAACAAACAGGTTCTTCTCTCTGTGTGTGCCTCTCCTAGATGTGGCCTACTTGGCCCACACCACTGCACTTTGCGTTCACACTCAGGGTCACCCACACACACAAAGCCATGGAGTATGGAGAGCCATACAAGTAAAATATCATGATATAATAATCTTTTCCATATGAGATTTGGGTTATTTCACACTTGTCAAGTCAAAAGTTCATTTACATTTTGTACAACAGCACATCAGCAGAGAGCAGGCTCTGGCCCCGCGGGCCGCCGACCTCACGCCTGTGCTTTACTCGCTCCAAGAGAGCCCGTTTTACACATAGTCAACGAGGCGCTCGGTCGCTGGAAGTTCGCCCACGCCCTCGCCGAGGCTCTCCCCGAACGCGCTGTTGAGCTCTCCGAAAGTTGACGCCGCCGTTTGCCGCCGTTTTCCACCGATTATCGCGCCAAATACGCCGTCTTTCGTTCGGAGCGGCGACCGCCCGGCGCCCTTTTGAGAGCGCCCTGTAAAACGAGGCGTCGCTGTGCACCCATTCCCGGACTGGGGACACACGGCAGAGCCTCTTCTAGAGGAACGAGCCGCTGGACGCTCGCCGAGCGGCGCTTTCGCTCGTATTTTGCCCGATAAATGCCACGAGAAAACACAAATCTGAGCGCGTCACTGAGACAAAGAGGCACAGCGCCCGCGTGGTTGAGTCTACGCCGTTCTCATGTGCCTTTTAAGGGGCCGGCTCCCCGCCTGAGAGGGAGGTTCCTCTGAACAGTCTAGTTTGTGCTCTTTCTCGCTTCACTCGCAGCAAAAGCAGAACGATGGCAGAAGTCGCTCCTGCTCCAGCCGCCGCGCCGGCCAAAGCTCCCAAGAAGAAAAGCGCTGCCCGGCCCAAGAAAGCCGGCCCCAGCGTCGGCGAGCTCATCGTCAAGGCCATTTCGCAGTCCAAGGAGAGGAGCGGTGTGTCTCTCGCCGCCCTCAAGAAAGCCCTGGCTGCCGGCGGCTACGACGTGGAGAAGAACAATTCCCGCGTTAAGCTCGCGGTCAAGAGCCTCGTGACAAAGGGCACTCTGGTGCAGACCAAAGGCACCGGTGCGTCAGGCTCCTTCAAGCTCAACAAGAAGCAAGCCGAGGCCAAAAAGAAGCCGGCGAAGAAAGCAGCGACCAAACCCAAGAAGGCGGCCGCCAAAAAACCCGCCGCGGCCAAGAAGCCCAAGAAGGTAGCGGCGAAGAAGCCCGCGGCCGCCAAGAAGTCGCCGAAAAAAGCCAAGAAGGTAACGGCGAAGAAGCCCGCGGCCGCCAAGAAAGTCGCCAAGTCTCCCAAAAAAGCCAAGAAGCCGGCGGCCCCGAAGAAGACGGCCAAGAGCCCGAAGAAAACAAAAGCCGTCAAGCCCAAAGCTGCCAAGCCCAAGACGGCGAAAAAGGCGGCTCCCAAGAAGAAGTAAACGTGCTGTTCACCCTCATGTCCTGTTTCTCCCATTGAAAAAAATGCCCGTTTGAAAAAAAACGGCTCTTTAAGAGCCACCCACATTTTATTAAAGAGTTAGATTTTCTTTCGTGCTGCACTTAAAAACTGGCCAGTAGTAATACTTTAAAGCGCCAGGGTCAAAATTATGACCGAGTTGCCGTTTGCATTTACACGGATGAGAGTAGGAGCTGAAATTGGATAAAAAACAGCGAGAAAACAGGGACTTGCTTTGTTTCCTTTGTCCTCATCTCTTTCTCCCTCAGTTCAGTTCAGGTTTGCTTTATTGACATGACAAATTTACATGTGTAAATAATAATATGCAAATAATAATAATAATAGTTACAAAACCAAGATTGATAACAATAAAGCAATTAAGAAGAGAAAGTGTTATCAATAATATAAAAGTATACACAATAATAAAAAAAATATTTGATATGTGTCTGCAGCACATAATTTATCTTCATCTCCCAAAGTATCGTGTGTATTTTATCGCTCTCTCTCTCTATCTCTGTAACACATACACGCAAGCGCGCAAGCGAAGGGGAGGTGGGGGGGAAGCAGAGGGCTTGGAGAAGAAAGGTGGGCGGGCCCCAAATTATGACGACGCTAATATGATTGGTTGTTGGATGCCATCGCATTTTAGCCAATAGAAACATGGCAGCTTTGCCTATATGGAGGGCGTTCGGAAACGATTGCTGTTTATTTTAGCTTAGTTCATCAAACTTAACAGAAGTGCAAAAAATGAGTGGAAGGGGGAAAACCGGAGGTAAAGCTAGGGCGAAGGCCAAGACTCGCTCTTCCCGCGCCGGGCTGCAGTTTCCTGTGGGCCGTGTGCATAGGCTTCTGCGCAAAGGCAACTATGCCGAGCGCGTCGGCGCCGGCGCTCCAGTCTACTTGGCTGCCGTCCTGGAGTATCTGACCGCTGAGATCCTTGAGTTGGCCGGCAACGCCGCTCGCGACAACAAGAAGACCCGTATCATCCCTCGTCACCTGCAGTTGGCCGTTCGTAATGATGAGGAGCTCAACAAACTGCTCGGAGGAGTGACCATCGCTCAGGGTGGTGTTCTGCCTAACATTCAGGCTGTCCTGCTGCCTAAGAAAACAGAGAAGGCGGCCAAGACCAAATAAATTGGGTTCTTCTGCCAAATTATAAAAAAAAAAACAAAGGCTCTTTTAAGAGCCACCCACCATAGCAAGAAAAGTGCAGTTTTTTTCCTTATGCTAAAAAGTAGAAAAAAACGACTTTCTATTGATCGTTAGTTCAATTCATTCTATCGTGTGTAGGATAGAATGAAATAAAAGCATCACAGCTTCACCACGTCCCACGATTGCGTGCTGAATACCGCTTTGTTCACCTTCCCGCGCATTCTTATCTACTGTTATGTACATTACATACGTTCCTGTCAGGTTTATTACTATAACAAGTTTAGGTTATTTTCATTCCGTACACACACACGTGCAAGTTATACGATTATGAACTCACGCATGAAATATATCACATTTTTGGCACAGTGCAAGCTTTAGAAGTGTGACTTAAAAGCTCTTATTTTACTCGAATACAAGGCGAATAAACTTACACGAACGTCTTTGTAACTACGCGAAAAAAGGTCAAATAACAGGCGTGTAATAATGAATGAACCAAAAATCTGAGTAACGTTACACCGAACATGTAAAACAGAAAAAAACAACAATGTGGTACATGAGCCCGCCAAGGCGTTGGGGCAGCGCCTTGTTATTTGAAAATGTTGGCGCGGCAGAAAACGCCCAATAGCGTTTAGCCATCGCGTGGGGAGCCGTCCAATGGAAGGCGGGCACATTCCGGACGCCCAATGAGCGGCGAGCAGCTCGAACCCTTAAAAGGGCCGCGGTCTGTGCGCAGAGTTATTCCGTTTCTTTGGTGCAGAAGAACAAAGTTTGACGTCATGGCAAGAACCAAGCAGACCGCCCGCAAATCTACCGGTGGCAAAGCCCCGCGGAAGCAGCTGGCTACCAAGGCTGCTCGTAAGAGCGCTCCGGCTACTGGCGGTGTCAAGAAGCCTCACCGTTACAGGCCTGGCACCGTGGCTCTGAGGGAGATCCGCCGTTACCAGAAATCCACAGAGCTGCTGATCCGTAAGCTGCCCTTCCAGCGCCTGGTGCGGGAGATCGCTCAGGACTTCAAGACTGATCTTCGCTTCCAGAGCTCTGCCGTCATGGCCCTGCAGGAGGCTAGCGAGGCGTACTTGGTGGGTCTGTTCGAGGACACTAATCTGTGCGCCATCCACGCCAAGAGAGTCACCATCATGCCTAAGGACATCCAGCTGGCCCGCCGTATCCGCGGAGAGCGCGCATAAATTAAACAGCGCGCTCCCAGGTTTCCCCAAATCACCCCAACGGCTCTTTTAAGAGCCACCTAACTGTTTACCCAAGAGAGTAACTATTCTAGTAACCCCAGAGTTCATTCACGTGCTGTGACTGTGTGAGGAGAACATCAACTATCCTAAACTAGCGGTGTCCGTGGCGTAGCGAAGAGAGTGATGCGTGTAATACGGGCGTCACCTTCCCGCGCATTCTTAGCTATTGGGTATCACACGTACAATTCAAATGTCCTTATCGGGTTTATTCTAAATATAACGAGTTTCCCCCCACCCCTCATTCCTTACACACACACGAAAATGTTTTGCCTGTCAACTCAAGAAAGCGCATGAAATAAAATGATCGTACAATCGTACAAACAAAGGGTTTTCAAGCTAGTTTAAGCATTCGCCACCACTCCAGTTGATCCGATATTAAATCAAGCTCACTCTGTCTTTAAAAAGCAAAATTACCATGGAGACATAATACAATGCTTGTTGTTTTCACTATTACTGGGTTATAAGGAAAAACTCTTCCGGTGGGTCTGTGGGGGGCTCTTAAAAGAGCCGTTGGGTTTATCGTTGTTCGAGTCGAGCGTTTAGCCTCCGAAGCCGTACAGGGTTCGTCCCTGACGCTTCAGGGCGTAAACCACATCCATAGCGGTGACGGTCTTCCTCTTGGCGTGCTCGGTGTAGGTGACGGCGTCCCTGATCACGTTCTCCAGGAACACCTTGAGCACGCCGCGGGTCTCCTCATAGATCAGACCAGAGATACGCTTGACACCGCCACGGCGAGCCAGACGGCGGATAGCTGGCTTGGTGATGCCCTGGATGTTATCGCGAAGCACTTTGCGGTGACGCTTAGCGCCTCCTTTACCGAGACCCTTTCCTCCTTTTCCTCTACCAGACATGCTGCTTAGCTCTTCACTTGATGGCTGCAAAGAGAATCAATGGGAACTGGAGCGATGTGCGTGCCTGTTATGCTCCTCTACAGGACCTAGTTGAAACCAAGGCACGGGAGGCGGAGCCACGCACAACAGACACCACAGAGAAAACAGCAACACGATGGAATCAAGGAAAACACACAAAGCAAATACTGCCATGAAATAAATAACCCCCCTATTATTATAACTATTACTATTGCCAATACATTCTTGTAGTAGCATTTCACAGCCTACATAATCGCATGTCAAGTCGAAATGTCAAATATTGTCCAAAGTACAAAACAAAAAAAGTTTGTGTGTGTGTGTGTGTGTGTGTGTGTGTGTGTGTGTTAGTTATATACAATATACTATGTATGAGAGAGTTTATGTAGGAAATAAGCGCTACAGCTCTCATGTATGTCTCTGATGAAGCTTGGGCGCAATCCTGTGATCAAACCGTAAACAGGCAAGTCCGAGAAAGATTATTAGACTCCTTATTGTAAATTCTGAACTACTGTATAAAATGATGTGGTTTGGTTGTTATAATTACTGTAAAATTATTGTCATTTTATTCCCCTTTTTATTTACGCAGCATCACAAACACAGTAATTCAATAAGTCATTCAGCAACACAATATTTTCACATATGAAAATATCTCCTACTCTACTACTTGCAGGTTCTCATTTTGACCACACGATGGCATCCAAGCCCCATCGATGACAAATCGCCCTCAGCCCAAAACATCTGGGATGGTCTTTTTGCACTGTTTTCGCTTCTCTGATCAGAAAAATAATAATTACACTACGTATTGGGTGCTGCTATAGTATAAGTTTAGTTAATGTTCACTGAAAAGATCCCCTGCATTTTTTAAATAAAAAATGTAGTCTACATTAAAAAAAAATAATAATAATAATAAATAAATAAATAAATAAATAAATAAAGTATCTCCCCTCGTTTTCAGTGTAAGACTGCATCAAACCCTTCTTCAGTGTAAGTAGCTGACACTCATTCTCTGTCTCTTTCTACAATGCACACACACACTTCTTTATACGCTTATTTAGACGCTTTATGTCTGTTTACCATCTAAAATCACTGTGTTTTCATAGAAGTTCGTTTTAATTTCTTTATCAGTCCATTGATACTTGCTGTCTTCTGCCATGTTTCCTAGCAACAGCTGGGAATAACAGAATCACCTGATCAGCCATATGACGGCCCAAGCCATCAGGCTGCTGAACAGCCAGTAGTGCTGGTGTCTTGGTCAGTGGGCCAGTCACTACAACTCTGAATCATCATCATGATGATCTCTATAAACGACCCACATCAACAGACTGACTCTGATTTCTTACTGTAACTTATATCTAGCCATCCTATACCTGCACACATAGACTGATATCTTGTACATCTTCTATTCATATCTTGTAATCTGGAATATCTATATATATATATATCAATGTTCTATCTAATCTATGTATCTCCCTCTGACTCGCATATTGCACACATGGAAAGTGTATAAATGTACATTTCATAGCTTCTATTTCATAACTCATATCACTGTACAAAAACTGCATTTTGAAATAGTGCAACAATGCACTGCTCGTGTATATTAATGTGTATATTGTGCATATGTGTATATAGTTAGAGTATAATATATATATATATATACCCCATTTCCAACAAATTTGGGACGCTGTGCAGAGTGTAAACAAAAATATGATGCAATGATGCGCAAATAAAGTAAACCATATTTTTAAAGGGAAATACTACAAAGACAACAATTCAAATGTTGAAACTGAGAAATTGTATTTTTTTTATTTATTTTATTTTTTTTAATATATGCCCATTTTCAATTTGATGCCAACAACACGTTCCAAAAAAGTTGGGACAGGGGCCTGTTTACCACTGTGTTTCATCACCTCTTCTTTAACAACACTCTGTAAGTGTTTGTGAACTGAGGCGACTCTGCTGTAGTTTTGAAAGTGAAATGTTTTCTGTTCTCGTTTGATACAGGATTTCAGCTGCTCAACAGTTCAGAGTCTCATTTGCAGTATTTATCATTTCATGATGTGCAGGCAGGTCAGTTTAGCGCCCAGACTCTTTTAATACGCAGCCATGGTGCTGTAATACATGCACAATGTGGTTTGACATTGTCTTGCTGAAATAAGCAGAACCTTCTCTGAAAAAGACGCTGTTTGGACGGCAGCACGTTGCCAAAACATGTTTGTATTAATGGTCACATCAATTTGCCCACATATTCTACTGTCTTACATGCAGTGTTCACAGGGTCATAATAAGAATCTGAGCAGTAAAATTTCTTTTTTCTCAGGATTTTAACTGTCTTTAACCTGACTGCCAGGGTTTTTTGGGACATTGCAAAGTGCAATTTGCTCAGACTCTATAGTCTCAGACACCATGTTCATAGCATCATAATAAAAACTGCAGTAGAATTTCTACTTCTTTAATATTTTGATAGTCTGTTATGTTGAGCTTTAAACATAAAACCGTCAGTTTGTTGAGACGTTTCAAAAATAAAAGTATAATGCAGGATAGAAGCAGAAAATGTGATTTGCACATTCTACAGTCGGGCTGGACGACATGGCAAAACTACACTACAATGCTTGAAGACATTTATTTTCTTGATATGAAATATGTACCATGACATTTCTTGAGATTTGGTAAGTTGGTACAGACAGAATTTATCAGTAGTGCCACATTTTACAAATACTGTACTACGCCTATGAATACAATGATTTTTATTTAACCTTCCACATATTCCACTGAACCAAATCCAATTAAATATGAGTAATTATGCTCTTTTGTGATGAAACTCTGTAGTCTCAAACTGTTAAGATTCACAGGGTTAAATTACAGTAAATGTTTCTACAGTAAATGTTTTTCTGCTTCAGGAGTTTTATGTTGTGGTAGATTGTGTATCAAACCTGATAGTCAGATTTCTGAGACATAAATCAGGGAGCAATAAACAGAAAGTACCTACAAAACATAGAAACAGTAAGAACCCCATATTCTATGGTCTCTCTAATTCCACTCCTTATCCTGTGGTGTAACGTTTTATAATGTTTTGACAACAAAAAAGGAGGACAACAGCAATTAAGAAGTAAATGTAGCAACTCTTTATTCAGTAGTGTCGTGCTTTTACACAATGAAATACTAGAAAAAAAGCTATAGACGTTCTGATGGATTCCACACTAAAATGTTTGTAAAGCATTTTGTGAAGATAAGCTATTATAGTTGTGTTAAGATGAAACTGCAGCATCATTTAAGGTGGAACAGAAAACTCGAACAAGAAGCTGTTTAATAAGCCAACAACCTCACTGGCAGACCTGAGTATGTCAGGCTGAAGGACTGTACATCAGAGACTGTAGTCAGCAGCACAGGAGCACCACAAGGGACTGTACTTTCCCCTTTTCTCTTTGCACTGTACAGCTCAGACTCTCAGTACAGCTCTGAGACGTGCAGAAGTTTTCGGATGACGCTGCCATTGTGGCGTGTGTAAGGCAGGGCAGGAGGAGGAGTACAGGAACCTGGTGAAGGACTTTGTGACATGGTGCCGTAGGAACAACCTGCTACTGAACACTTCCAAGACCAAGGAGATGGTGGTGGATTATACCTACAGGTATCTCGGACTGCAACTGGATGATAGGTTGGACTGGTCAGCCAACAGAGACATCCTGTACAGGAAGGGGCAAAGCTGTGGTTGCCAGCTGTCTTTTTTACGCTGTGGTGTGCTGGGGAGGAGGCATGAAAAATAGATACGAGATGCGACTGGGCAAACTGGTCAGGCGTGTGGGGTCTGTGGTAGGTTGCTGTAACATAGCTGGTCAACCGACAGACTCAGGAGATCCTTTGTCCCTAAAGCCGTTAGGCTCTTCAACTCTTCCCAGAGGGACCAGAAGAGAAGAGGGAAGAGGGAAGAGGAGAGATGAGGACTCAGTCTCTCACGTTAAATTACAGCTTTATTTAATCTATCTGCACATGTGGACACCTTACTGTACATATTGCACTTCTGCACACCTTATCGCACATCTTGCACATCTGGACACTTTATTTCAGTACCAATATCTGCACATATTTATTCAGTATTGTCGTTATATGCTGTTACCTGCACCTCCTTGTACATTCATTATTGTACTTCCTTTATCTCAGGATAGATCTTATTTCATACTTTTATGTATTTCTAGTTGTATATATGCCTAGAAAGCAATACGAACTGGGGATGTGTATAGGCACTTATACGCTTATTATAAGTTATATATACTATAACTTATTTTAATATATTGGGCAAAAATACCTACACAAGACAAAATTTGGGAAAATGAACCGGAATACAACAACCCAGAAGTAACATTTTCTCTCCACCTCCATAAAACATCGTGCCGTCACTCGCATAAGGGAAAAAGCTCTTTAAGCGGAAACGTGGGTGGCTCTTAAAAGAGCCGTTGGGTTTGAAGTTTGTCACTTCTTACTTGGAGCTGGTGTACTTGGTGACGGCCTTGGTGCCCTCGGACACGGCGTGCTTGGCCAGCTCACCGGGAAGAAGCAGGCGCACGGCGGTCTGGATCTCCCTGGACGTGATGGTGGAGCGTTTGTTGTAATGAGCCAAACGGGACGACTCACCGGCGATGCGCTCGAAAATGTCGTTGACGAACGAGTTCATGATGCCCATCGCCTTGGAAGAAATGCCGGTGTCGGGGTGGACCTGCTTCAGCACCTTGTACACGTAGATCGCGTAGCTCTCCTTCCTGGACTTTCTGCGCTTCTTGCCTCCCTTACCAGCCGTCTTAGTCACGGCTTTCTTGGAGCCCTTCTTCGGGGCGGACTTGGCGGGTTCAGGCATGGTTTTCTCTTCTTCAAGTAAAACTGAAGAATGAGGAGGAGCGCCCGGCACCGGCTTATCTAGACTCCGATATTCAAATTATAGCTCCGCCCGTCTGAATGCAGACAAACGATCATTGGACAAATGTCAACGGCTCACTTGGCGGACAACTCCCAGCTCCCGCCCTCCTCCCTCGGCTAAAGGCTTTCCCTTTGTTCACCTTCCCGCGCATTCTTAGCTACTGTGTGTCATGTACAATAAAACATTCCTATCAGGTTTATTAATATTGGAAGTTTCGGTTATTTTTTTCATTCCCTACACACGCGCGCATTTTTGTGTGTGTTTTTGTTTTTTTTTTTATCTTTCGTGTTATGCAAATTGTCTTTGCAGTAATAAGTAACCAACTGTAACCTTCTTAAGTAATTAATAAGGTTGATTACTTTGTTAGTTAATTCTCCTCTTGGTACTTCTTTTCTTGAGGGCCTTGCTCTCCTTTTGCTGCTGTAGCACTGTGGTTTTCCCCGCAGTAGAACTAATAAAGGGTTGTTTTGTCTTGTGTGATTTATCTCAAATTACGTGTCATTCTAAGTCGAAACATCAAAAATTATACAAAGAACAAAATAAATAAATAAATAAATAAACAGGCAAAGAAAGAAAAAAGAAAGAAATGTATTAATTTTAATACAATTCATCTTAATTTAAGTCTGGGCTGCTCGAAATACAAAGAACCCCACTGTTATGGAGTAAGAAACCTGAAGGAACAATGCAATAACAAAACGTATGAAAATGTATGTGTGTGTGTGTGTGTGTGTGTGTAAGAGAGAGAGAGAGAGAGAGAGAGAGAGAGAGGTGTATTATATACAATATATCACAATGTATGAAACAGTTTGCGTAGAAAATAAGTGCTACAGCTCTCATGCATGTCACTGATGAAGCTTGGGCGCCATCCTGTGGTCAAACCATGAACCGTCAAATCCGAGAAAGACCATTAGACTCCTTATTGTAAATGCTGAACTACTGTATGAAATGATGTGATATGGCCGTTATAATCACAGCTAAATTATTGTAACTTTAGTTCCAATTTTACTTATGCAGCTTCACAAACACAGTAATTCAATAAGTCACTCAGCTACACAATATTTCCACATATGAAAATATCTCTTATTCTACTGCTTGCAGGTCCATATTTTGACCACACGATGGCATCCAAGCTCCATCAATGATAAATCGCCCTCAGCCCAAAACACCTGGGGCGAACTGTCTGCACTGTTTTCGCTTCTCTGATCAGTGAATTAATAACTAAACTACAAACTGGGTGCTGCTATGGTCCGAGTGTCTTCTAGTTATTTTATTTTAATTTCAAAGGAAGTGTTGAAAAACGAGAAATGGTTCAGTTCTCGTTTTGGTTCTGTTATTGTTTGTGGAAAAATCAAGAAATAGCTTTGTTTTACAGTTTCAGAAAATCATCGTAAAATCAAGAAAAACAAACGACAGCGGAATAAAGGGTCGTATTTAATTATCCAAATTTAAAAATTCCCTATCACTTCAAAGATGATAAAGACAGAAAGATGCATTAGTGTTGAGCAGACAGGCCTAATCCTGGCATTTTAGGAGACTATATGATGTTTTTACAGCTGTTTCTATATTTGATGTAGTTACTGTATCAGTAGAAGCTGAAGCGATATGAGGAAGAGACTCTTAAAGACTCCCGTCATTTAACAGCGAAATCATAAAGAAATGAAAGTCCCGCTGCTCAGTAATGATGAGGAAATATAACACTGTAATGTGGCGCCGTTAGAGGAGAACTTCGTTATAGCATCTGTGTTTCTGCTCCAGATGTTGTGGGGAAAATGATTTGCAGCTTTGCTCCAGATTTGGCGACTTAAATAAAGCCCAAAACACCTGGACTGGCAGGAAAAAGCTAAATTTCTTTATTAAGATTAAGACTCTCCAGCAAACAAGCATTAATCCGAGTTAACCCAGGCGTGCAGGGGTCAACGCCTCCGCTTCTCACTCTCAGGAGGACTCCCAGAATCTCCCAGAATCCTCTGAGTGAACACATGACCATGACGTCATCCCACACTACCTATCACAGATCTCCCTAATCGGATCGCTGATTCTGTTCACCTGTGCTGTGTATCGTATGACCCAGTTAGGATAGTTTATAAACCGGGCTTTAGGTTTAGTCATTGTGAGGTGTTGCTTTTGTGTTCCGTTCCGTTCTCGGGCCTTTTCCGCCTTGTTCCTGTTGGAGTTGTTTGCCTGGTCTTCTGTGTTAAGTTGTCTATTTTTTTTTATTGTCTTTGTTAGATTTGACCTTGGCCTTTTTTGTAACGATGTCTTTGGATAAAGAACTGAGTAGTAGAGCTTCTTTGACTGTTTTTATCTGCGAGCGTCTGACTGATTCTGGCCCTCCAAATATTTCAAACTTTTAGATTTGCACATCATTATCTCCATTTTTGTTAAATGATTGCAGGCTGAAGCCCCTCAGCGGCCTTTGACCTTTATTTGCTTCTATATATTATTTTAAATTAGTTTTCCAATTAAGTTTCTGCTTTGTTCTCTTTTTCAATGACACATTTAATGTTTTATGGTACAAACTGTGTCTTGCTCTGTGTGTGTGTGTGTGTGTGTGTGTGTGTGTGTGTGTGCCCCTCTCCAAGTTACTCCAGGGGTTCTATCTCTTACTATCTCTGATACTCCAGTGATTTATGCTCTTGTCTTTGCTGCCCCAGTGGACTATGTTTTCTGGCCACTGTCATCCATGAAGGCTCTGTTTCCCACGATTCTGTCCCATCAGTCTCTGTGTGGAGTTTGCAAGTTCTCCTTGTATCTGCATGAGTTTCCTCCCACAGTCCAAAGACATGCAGTCAGGCAAATTGGAGATGCTAAATTGCCCCTAGGTGGATGTGGATGTATTGTATGTGTTGTATTGTATTGCACTGCTCTGTTCCTCTTTCTCTAGGTGTCAATAATGACTTTCTGATTCTAGCAGTGTCTGAGCTCAGGACTGACTTTCTAACCTATTGGTAACTAGCAAAGATACTTTCTCTGGATAGACAAAGCACTTTTTGTAAGTCGCTCTGGATAAAAGCGTCTGCTAAATGCTGTAAATGTAAATGGATGTCTATGTATCTGCCCTGTGATTGATTGTCTTCCTGTCCAGGGTATTTCTTGCCTTCCGCCTGATGAAAGCTGGAATAGGCTCCAGCACCCTCCACGACCCAGAAGGATCAGTGGCTTAGAAGATGGATGGATGATGTTCAACCGTAGGAAGTCTTTCTACTATTGGGAAAAAAAAAAAACAAAGCTTATTAAAGTCTTGCAGAGCAAAACTGGCATTTTTCCCTACAGTATCCAATGAGTTAAATAAAATAAAACACCCTAAATGAAGCAAATGCAGTGCAGCATGCTTACCTACACACCATCTACAACAGAGTTTGAACAGAGCCTGCTCCTTAAGCAGTTCGATTTTCCAAAAAATATTGCAAGTTATGCATTTGAAGTTACGTTTTTAAAGCTCGAATTTATTTGTTTATTTACTCTAATTTTAATAGTTATACTACAACGTTTTATCCTGTTTGAAGGTTGCGAATGAGTCAAATCCGGGGCTTCATGAAAGACACGCCAGCCTTGAGAATGACAGCGTTTCGGACCAATCATGTGCGTCTTAGCCGAAGCTGTTCGTCCAATCACAATCGCGCGTCGTGCGGCTGCGCTGTAATCCGGGCGGTTTGTGCTGTGCTTTAGCTGAACGTCTTCTGCGTCTTTAATTCACACATTTAACCTCCGTTCAGTAAAACCGCGATGGTTTCTCACTCTCTGGCGCTGCCGATGATCTGCTTCACCATCCTGTGGGGGCTGGTGGGGGTGGTTGCTCCGTTTTTTGTGCCCAAAGGACCAAACCGAGGGTAAGAAATGGTATCAGCACAGCAGGCGGTGGAAAATAAATAACGGTCGGTTTGCTGTTGTTTATGTCCGTGAGATTTAACAAATGACATATGTAGACTAAATATGCTGATCGGTGATTTATGATATCGGTTTTGGATTCGTTCTGAATTGACGGTTTTCTCTGAGGCCTCGACCGCCTGCTGAGGCTCTTATGATGCTTATGATGCTCTTATGCAGCGTACACGTGACCTCCCTCCTGAGAAAGGGCCATTAGAAACCAAAAGGATTAAAACCTAATGGTTTTGCTTTCCAAATGGAATTGGCTTTATGGTTTCCAGTAGAGACCACTAGTTTCCTGTAGAACACCTTTAGATCCCATTAGAAAACCACCAGATGCCTTTGGAACCAGCCATTGGTGACCTGTTAAACCATTAGGATCCTTTACACTGTGATATCAGCACCTTCAAAAAGCCAAAACACATTACAAAACCATCAGGAACCAACAGAAACGATTTATTGTTTAATGGTTTCTGTGGGTTTTTTTCACCAGGGCTTGGATTTAGAGGTGGGATTAACCCTACACTCTTAAAAAAAGACTCTTCCTCAAGCGTTCCTTAGTAAACAGTGTGGTTCTGTATAGAGCCATTTCATTCATAATTGGTTCTTTGCATGGTGAAAAAGTTCTTCATATTAATGGAGAATGTGTTGTATATGGTTCTAGAACCTTTTATCTATAAAGCACCAAAAAGGGTTCTTCTGTCATCACAAGCTTGTAGTCCTGGTCTACGCTCTTAAAAAAGATGGTTCTTGAAGGGTTCTTTAGTAAAGAAAATGCATGATTAAAGGGTTCTGTGGAAAGATTCTTCAGACTGATGGAAAATGTGCTGTAGATGGTTCTATATAGAATCCTTTTCAAAATGGTTCTATATAGCAACCAAAAGCTTTCTTCTCTTGTTACGTTGTCAAGCTTATAACAATAAAAGAACCCTTGTGGGTGCTATATAGAACCATTTTTAAAAATATTCTATGTAGAACCATCTACAGCACATTCGTGCAAGTTTTCTATCAGTCTGAACAGCTTTTTCATGATGCGAAGAACCCTTTAGTCATGCAAATGGTCCTTTGAGTGTTAATGGTTCTATAAAGAATCATTCTCTTTACTAAAGAACCCTTGAAGAACCATCTTTTTTATGTGTTCATTTCCTTTTGCTGTGTAGTCCAGTAGACTAAGTCTTGTTTGTAAAACTGAGCCTTAATGATTTTCCTAGAAATTAAGTCCTAGAAATTTCTTGCAATTCCTAGATTTAACTCGTCAGTTAATTCCCACACTCTTTACGAGATTAAGGTGGGGCAGTAGGGCAGAAGAACTTTAAAATGTGAACGATCTTTCAATAGAATAGTATTAATAGTAGTAATTGAAATGCTTGTATGTAGAGATTGATTTGATGAGGGATGCTGGGGTATGCTATTCCCAAATTTAAAAAAAGAAAGAATCATTTTTATGCAAGTTTCCCAAGTTCTGTACCCCTTTTCATTAATGTTATGTGAACTCTGTCTGTAGAATTAAAAAGAGCTTATACCTCTATGTAAGCAAATGTGGATATTCTAGTCACAGCAAAATGAGAGACATCTAAAAAGATTCCTGAGCTCAAAAAGTAAAAAAAGTATGGCAACCCTGCTTCCCCACGCCAGCATCATTTGAAGCCACCATCCCCATCGAAAACCTTTTACAATTTGAACACTACATGCCAGTTTTATTGTGTATTGTATTGCATTTCATTGTGCTAATCTTATTTGGTTTTCTTGTGTGTATTTACAGTGTCATCATTACCAGTCTGGTGCTGACAGCGGTCTGTTGCTATTTATTGTGAGTACTTAACAGCTGTGGCGTGTTTCAATGTAATTTCAATTAGACTTGCTTATGAGCTAATGAGTATGACATACTGTATGTTTAGTGTTCTTCATGTATAAGGAGCTCATGACCTTATTTTCCTTACATTTAAAAAAAAACAAAAAAAAAAAACATTTACATACTACACAAACACTGTCTCAAAATGCACTGTTCACTTATCAATTCATACAATATAGGTAGGCTTTATCTTTAGCTTAATTAACCATGTCACTTCATATTTGGTGTTTTGGTTATGTTTTTTGGTGATGTTGGAATGTGTATTATATTGACGTTTAGTTAACATGAGTTATACAAAAGTTATTAATGTATCTCTTTGTATGTGTGTTTTATGTCAGTTGGTTAATAGCAATTTTAGCCCAGGCAAACCCTCTGTTTGGACCACAGCTGAAGAACGAGACCCTCTGGTACTTGCGGTATTACTGGGAATAAACTAAGGTAGGCCCACCTAGAGAGGTATTAGTAACAAAGCTGTAATTACTGTTCTGTAACAGCATAATATAGCGATAAGCCCCAAGAGGCCATGCAAGCATCGCTTGACAAAAATTACATGAAAGAGACCAGATTTGTGTCTGCTAGGGTGTCGCAGACCTTGGTATGTACTTTAAAAATTGTGAAAGGCTGCAGATATTGTCGTGCACCCCGATTGGATAGAATTGGATTGTTGCCGTGGTCACGGTGTGCGACTGTGTTTACTGCTACTTTCAGAAACGGAGCAGGTTGCCAGCTGTTCAAAACAAGGATCAATATACATTTATAGGACGATGTGTTTTCATTTCCAAACCTTTTCGCGTGTCTGCGATTACTTTCTAAAGTAGTCCAAGCAGAAGACCACCTGCAACAGTGTAATTTGCACTTTCAGAATAATTTAATTATGTAATTTTAGGAAATTTTTCAGAGAAAGAACTCCTGAGTGAAACACACGCATGTGGAAAACAAGTAGTAATTCTGGTAAACTTTAGATGATGTTCTGTTCCAACATGTAGTCGCTGGCACAGGGCTATAAAAGCCTACAGCACTGTGACATCTGTCGACCACAGTTTTTCTGTCAAGCGACACATATGCACACACTAGGTTTAAAGGCACAGTAACACAGAGTTTTATTTCTGTAACCCCATTTCCAAAAAGTTGTGACACTGCAAAATGTAAATAAAAACAAAATTCAATTATGTGCCAATCATTTAAACCCTATATTTCATTGAAAATAGTACAAATTCAACAAATCAAATGTTGAAACTGATAAATTATATTGTTTTAATGTATGCCCATTTTGAATTTGATGCCAACAACACATTCCAAAAATAGTTGGGACGGGGGCACGTTTACTACTGTGTTTCATCACCTCTTTTTTTAACAACACTCTGTAAACGTTTGGGAACTGAGGAGACACTGCTGTAGTTTTCAAAGTGAAATGTTTTCCCATTTTTGCTTAACATAGGATTTCAGCTGCTCAACAGTTCAGAGTCTCCTTTGTCATATTTTTCATTTCATAATGCATCAAATGTTATCAGCAGTGACAGGTCTGGACTGCAGGCAGGTCGGTTTAGCACCCGGACTCTTTTACTACAGAGCCATGTTGTTGTAATACATGCAGAATGTGGGTTGAAATTGTGTTGCTGAAATAAACAAGGTCTTTCCTGAAAAAGATGTTGTCTGGATGGCAGCATATGTTGCCAAAACATGTATATCGCTGTTGTCAGAAGAAAACCTTGTATCTCCAAAACAGTAACTTTACAGGAGAAGGAAAAAACCTTCTTCACTTTTAATGTAAGTAAATCGAACCAGACTTTTTTCTAAGTCATTTTGGGCCATTTCTTTTGGCTTTTGAACTGTGCACTGATAACAAGCTGAGTGGTCTTTAGCCTGGAGGACACAGCGTCAATGATTTCCAAAAAGAATTTCAAATTTTGATTTGTCAGACCACAGGACACTTTTCCACTTCACCTTAGTCCATTTTAAATGAGCTCGGGCCCAGAGAAGGTGGCAGCATTTGTGGATCCTGATTACGTACAGTTTCTTCTGAATGCGGTCTTAAGGCCCAAAGATCACAGCCAGCAAATACTGGTTTTTGGTCTTGTCCCTTACATACAGAGATTTCTCCAGATTTTCTGAATCTTTTAATGATATTATGTACCATAGATGATGAAAAGCAAAAGTTCTTTGAATTTTTGCACTATTTGCCCATGCAGTCTTTCACAGAGTGGTGAACCCCTCCTCATCATTACTTGTGAAAGACTCAGAATGTTATTGATCTGTTGCCAATTAACCACCAGGTGTTTTAGCCTTACACAACTTTACCAGCCTTTTGTTGCCCTCGTCCGAACTTTTTTGGACCGTGTTTACTGGCATCAAATTCAAAATGGGCAAATATTGTTCAATAAACAATACAATTTTCAGTTTCAACATTTGATATGTTGTCTTTAAAGCTTTTTCAGTTAAACACAGGGTTTAAAGGATTTGCACATCATTGCATTTTTATTTTTTTTTTTACATTTTTCACAGCGTCCCAGCTGTTATGGAAATGGGGTTGTAAAGGATTAAACACAGTGGCTGATGTTAATACTAAAAAGAATCACAGCTTTTGTTGCTTCAGAGGAAAAGTGGACTTCAGGAAATAATAGAATAAAGAAAAATGTAGGATATGTTTAGTGATGCACTGAAGAAGAAAAAAAAAACTTAGCCGAAAATGAAATTTGGAACACTGAATAAAACAAAACAAAAAACATAAGACATAGAAAGACTTATTTCAGTAAGTTTATTTTAAGTCTTTTTAAGTCTTACATTTTACACTACAGAAAAATGACTTATACTTACTACTTTTACACTGCAGTTTGTGAATGTTTTCTTCATTCAGAAACTGAGGCTACAGATGGCGCCATCGTGCTTGCTGGGGCTTTTCTATCTACTTCTGCTGTTTTCTTGTATTCAGAGTGTCAGTCAGCATGTTGTGTTTTCAAATGGTATCAGATTCCTAATAATACTCAGGAGGAACAGAGATTATTAATTGCTGATCTAATAGCCCTTGTAGAAACCAACTTCAGATTACCAGTTTTTTTTTTTCACGTTTGAATGTTTTGGGATATTTTCCTTTTCTGAAAGTGCAATTTTTCACTGTTTTCAAATGACATAATGACAATAATAATAAAGCTTCCGCCAAGCATAGATATGATTGAAAATTATTCCATGAATAGCAGAATGATTTTTAATAACTTGGTGCATTAATACAGAATTCAGTTGATATATGTGGTCATAAGTGTGTATATGAAGTGTTTTAGTCACGACTCAGATTTCAGAAATATGCAGTCTGTGTTATTTCAAAATGTTACAAAGCCCTGCAACATGGAAAAAAACAGTTAATACTACACTCTCATAAAAACGATACTAAACCATCACTGGGGCAGTCCCCCTCTTGTCACTGGGGGTGGAACCTTCAAGGGTACATCTCAGTACCTTTTAGTCATGGAACATAATTGCCCCATAATTCATTGAAATGATATTTTCCAAGTTGTACTGGCTCCACATACCCCGTCTCGTCTCCAGGCTTTTTATTTTATTGTTCTGGTTGAAATATTAGATAATGAAAATGTACAAATATGAACTTTTCACCTGGGAAAAACTTATTTAAGGTTCACAGTTGGACCTTAAAACCACTGTTGTACCTTTGAGGGAACATTTACACTGTTTATATCTTTATGAGCAAGAAATGTACCTGCACAGAACCTTTAATTCTAACAGCGTACGTGTTAACAAATCTAAAAATATAATACAAACACAATTCATTTTCTCTCTCTCTCTCTTTCTTTCTTGGGTTTGGCTGCTCTGTCATCTAGAATACAAAAACAAGCTACCATCTCATCTCATGATCCACATGGAATCTTCATGGAATTCAGTGAGACTCCAGTGGACCATTCCCTGGAATGGCCACCTTCTATTTTGGATGTAATGTTGATCTTGTCTTTACATTTTTTGACATTCCTTCTCAAATGATGTTTATCGGTTGCTTACAGAGCAGAATTATTGTATATATGAATCTCCTTAAAAGTGTATGATATGATGTATATGATATTGCCAGCATTGTTGAGTAGAAAGAACACTTTTGTGCAATAACAGTAGCTTGTAGCTAATGTTCACCACCTGAAGGTTGATATATTTGAGTTGTTTGATTACAGTATGTATTCACAGTATGTATGTGATAGTAGTGTACCGTAATTGTTTCCCTGCTGGCACATGTAAAAATGTGATCCCTAAGTGTGAGTCCCTAAGTGTGATAGTTTTACTGTTTACATGAACCTATTTTATGGTACATTTTATGTTGATTTTTATTTATTGAATTATTTATTTTTCCATACGTTTAATTCCATATGCTTATGTGAAGTGTAAAATGTGCTTACAGGTCTGTGTCAGTGCTGGAGTGTTGAGGTCACTGTTTGCAGGAAAACCTTAAAAAAAAAATGCCAACATAAGCGTATGAGTGTTAGTTTGCACAAAAATGTTGCATTAGAGTTTCTCATTTTTTCCATTTTATTTAAATATTTACTTATCTTTTGCTCACTCCCTAAACTGTGTTCTGGCCGCCTTCTTTCCATGGAGATCGCTTTGACCGCAGTTGACCTCAGTCCTGATGTCATTTTGGACCGTTTTCACCTCAGCTTTAACCGAGTAATTATATACAGCTACTTTTATTGAAAGACCAAATCATTTTTTTTTTTCTCTCTTATCCTTTAAAGCCTCAGTCATGAATGAATAGACCACCACAGCCACCCCAGGATTAGCTGACTTTACTGACTGAGAGTACATTTTATTGTATATTATGTTTTATTAAGGCTTGTCATTATTTCAAAGCCTTTTTGCTCCAGTTCTAAAGTGTGGCCTTCTTTCTGACTGGGGATTTAAACTGTGGAATCAATTTATGATGTTATGTTTGATATGGGATTAAACTCCCAGTTCCATGGCCGTGGAATAAATTTGATTGGCATCACTGTCGCACTTTCTGATCTCCATGGGAATGATGTGGTGTCAGTAATGCGTTTCACTGCTGTTTATACTGCATATGCCTGTCTAAACCCCCCAATAAAATCAGAATGGCTAATATCGTCTCTCCCTCTGAGACTTGATTTTATGTATTTACTTACTTAGTATGGTAACTTAATTTCTTAAAGCCTTACTTGCTGCACCATAGATCATGCAGCTACTTTAAATTGGAAACATCACCCACTCCTCCAAAAAAGAGGTTTCTTGTTTCTTGCAAGTATTATCTGGCTCACAGTTTGAGCCAGAAAGAAGACATTTCATTGCCTTTCTCTTGAAGGAATTTGTTCAGTCCAGAGCCGGTTTATGAGGAGTCTGGCCGCTTCCTGTTTCCCGTTATATTGAAAACAGGACTGAAAACAGCAGAGGGCGCCCACGAGTGAGTCCTCAATGAATGGGAGTAAATGGAGCTAAACAGAAAAAAAAAAGTTTAAATAGTTTCTAATCGCTCGCCCAGAACTTTCCTTTAATTTTAGAAAGTATAAGGACGTATTTAACTAAAAAAGCACAGAAAACTCACCTGTATGTTTCTACAGCAAACAAGTTTTGGGCAAAAGGACGCTAACAATACTGCTAGTGAGTGCTGATTGGTTAGCATTACTGCTACTGAGTGCTAATTGGTTGGTGAGCAGAGCAGCTCATTGGCTGTTCACACTCACTGACGTCATGAACGTACATAAGGCGCCATATTAAACTCCCATAACTCGAGTTTAAAAGTGCTTAGTATATAACAGCGGTGTTAAAATGTTTTATGCTGTTCTGTCTTCAGGAAATGATTGTATTCTTTTATATTAAAAATGTTTCAGCATTTATAAACTAAAAAATTGCTTATATGCTCCATCTTAATCCATTAATTTTGGACTTGCTCGGGAGCGCCCTCTAGCTTTTGAGAAACCCGGAAGACATTACAGAGTGCTAATTTGTATGCAGCTTGTGTAAAAACAGCATTACCTGGGATAATGGAGCTTTAAATTCTAATGATTTAAATAGTTTTCCAGCATGGTAGCCAAGATATAGCCACCTACACAGTGAAAAACAACAGCATTTTTAGCCTCTGTGAGTGGGCAGTTTTACAGGGTAACCTTTCTCTACTCCCACTGCATCTGATTCTTACTCTATTCTTATTCCTGCTCAAGTGTGCAGACCAACAAATGGCATATAGGCCTACAGGCTCTCTGCAGCATGCTGTTCTTCATAGCATTACAGAGGAATTCCACTCTTTCAGAAATTCCAATTAAATGTTCAAGAGGTCAATAATGTAATTTGGGGTGGTTTGAGGCAAAATTATATAAACTACTGTCATGAACTACTGTGGTAGAGAAATTGTTCACAGTGGTGGTAATAGGAACCAGACATCTGAAGCGTTTAGCTCCCTCACGGAAAAGTATTGCATTAAACGATCAGCTGCAGTGAAAATGAGGGTCGAAAAGGTTGATTGATTGATTGATTGATTGATTGATTGAATGGTCAACCATATTTTTTCTTATTTCATCATTATCAATATCACATACTGAAACTCAAGTAGATAACTTTCTCAACAATGAACCTTTTTACATCAAACCGCTCTGAATGCATCTCAGTGACTGTTCTTTAAAGGAGAGCTCCACCCATTTTTCAGAATTTCTGTATAATTAAATGGTTGAGATGTAAACAATGTGTTTCAGAGTGGTTTGGTGTGAAATATTCCTTTTTAGAGAAAATTGACGAGCCAGAATTCTTCAAAGTAGTGGTGATAGGAACCAGAAGACTTCCACCTCTAAAATCTCCCTCACAGAAAGTTATTACATGAAATGGTTGTGAATATTCAGCCTGATGTCTGAGATACTATTTTATAATAGTTTTGTAATAAAATTTCAGCCTAAAACATATTTTAACCAATTTATCTTTGTCTTTTCTGGGTAGATGGATACATGGGGGGAGATCTAAGGCAAAATAGTCCCCAGAGAAAACTTTTTTCAGGCACTGAAAAAAGGGGGTAGTCATGGGTTCGAGGTTAGGGAACCAGCCCTGCGGCTGAGCTGACAATACGTGACTGACGTGCCCTTGAACAAGACGCCTAACCCTCAACTGCTCCCCGGGCACTGCGGATAGGGCTGCCTGCCACTCCGGGCAAGTGTGCTCACTGCCCCCTAGTGTGTGCGTGTGCGTGTGTGTGTGTGTGTGTGTGTGTGTGTGTGTGTGTGTGTGTTCATTAGTGTGTATGTGGTGTTTCACTGCATGGATGGGTTAAATGGGGAGGTGAAATTTCCCCATTGTGGGACTAATAAGAGTTACTTAATCTAATCTATTTTACCATCATCAACATAAACGTTCAGAAGGCATGTGTAGGTTCACTAGTGGGTAAATAAAATGGCTATATTTGAGTTGTAGACATCAGGACTCCTGGTTACCACCAATGTAAAGCAATCAGAGTCTCTACAAATTTGAAGTTTCTCTACAAATGAACCATTTCCCATCAAATCACTATGAATGACTTTGTTTACTTCTCAGCCACTGACTTATGCAGACATTTTGAAACATTGGTGGAACTGTCCTTTAATGGTCTCGCCCGGAGGATCCTAATTTTGTAAAATTATGTAATAAAAATGCGATCCAAGTTTTGTAACAGCAGCTGCTGCTCAAACTCAGATTCTTTCAACACGAGAGTGAAACGAGTCCTTACACAACCAGCTCCTGAATCACTGCGTGACGTCCTGCTTTCTCGCAGTTCAATGCAAAACGTTTTGTTTGAATCAGAATCTCGCCAGACGTGTGTTTACAGTGTCCCCCGTCTTTTCTTTAGATAACAGTGATCTATGACTTCTGCATTAAACTGTGATTCAGAGTGGCTTTTATTAAACGCGCACTGCATAAAAATCCTGACTGTGCATATTTTGGCGAATATTTTCCCTGATGAATGAAAATACGTCACGATCTAACGTGTTTTCCGTTTATGTAACGGTGTCGTTTGCCGTTGTTTTGAGCGCTGACCTCGCAATGTTTCCATGCGTACCATCATAATAGTAACGATGATGATTATAAGTACTGCTAATTATTACTGTTATTGTTATTATCAGTATTTTCTCTGCGCGCGTCAACATGGAGCTCCACGTGCTGCGCGCTGCCAGTTTACATAAACGGACCGGCGGCGCGTCGGGCCAATCAGCAGCGATTGACGTCACTTGTAGTGCTTTCCATGGAAACCCCGGCGAGACAGCCAATGGACGAGAGACTCCGAGAAGAGGGGGCGGGGTGAGGCTGAGGAAGGGTGGAGCTCAAAATGAGGTCAGTGCGCGAGCGGCCGGATTCGGTAGTAGGTTGTGATTCAGTTGTTCGAACCGACTCGTTCAGTGAATCAAACTGAGCGATTCGACGGACAGAACTTCAAATAGCATTTACAGTTTGTGAAATTAGAGGCAAAAAGAATTGGTAAGACACAATTTACACAGAGAAATACTCAGCACATATTATTATTATTGCTGTCGTTCTTCTTCTTATTGTTACTAAGTACAATAATAATAATAATAATAATAATAATAATAATAATAATAACACAGTCCAAAAACATGCAGTCAGGCTGATTGGACATGCTAAATTGCCCCTAGGTGTGAGTGTGTGTGTGAATGTGTATGTCTGTCTGTCTGCCCTGCGATGGACTGGCGACCTGTCCAGGCTGTATCCTGCCTTCCGCCCAATGACAGATGGGATGGGCTCCAGCACCCCACCGCGACCCAGAAGGATAAGCGGTTTAGATGATGGATGGATGGATGGATAATAATAATAATAATAATAATAATAATAATAATAATAATATATGTTTCAGTATGTTTCAATAACATCTTTTATAAATCTGCATTATAAATGCAGGCCAATGTGCTTCACAAAGTGTGTTCAAATAAAGCATTAGCAAGCACAAATGAAAGAAAAATGAACAAAATTGATCGAATAATGTAATTGATATTGTATTATATAGTTATAATGTTTTTTATTAGATTGAATCGTATGAAGTTATTTTTAAAGTATATTAGAATTATACATTGCATATGTATAACATGGTCGTAAACACTGCATTAAGGATGGATTCATTTGTGAATGGACTTGTGAATCGGACTGATCGTTTCTTTGAATCCAGCCGATTCAAAAGAACCGATTCACCACAGGTTCATTCACGGAGTTAGTAGTAGGGCAGTGCGAGTGGAGCCGGTCGTACAGAGTGGGACGCTGTTTGGGAATTTTCTCCAAATGCAGCTCTGAGGACGACACCAGCACCTTCAAGAATCAAAGGAAAACGTGAGGCATTGAGAGTTTGACCAGGTTTGTGTTTGAATTTCATCTTTTATACTTCTTAACGTTTAAAAGAAAATACGTTGCATAACATAACTCGCACTGCGCATGCGCGGACTCGCTCCGACTGTAAGAATATAGACATTTATAGCGTATATTTTGTTTCTGTGGCTGTTTTAATGACATGTATATGTGAAAGTCAGTGTGTGTGATGATTTTGGGGCAAATCGATGAGTTAAATCGAGTCTGGAGGGCGAGTTTAAGCGACGGAGCTCTACTTTTACATAACTGTGTCAGTGTACCGTGCAGTGCATTGCAGGTCAACGTGTGAGTTTTCAGGGCTGAGGGAGAGAGTGAGGTGGGGGCTGTTTACTTATGTTGGCTTTGCTTCCCTATTCTGTACTGTTAGTTAAAAATAATTATCATTTTATTATTGAATACGTAATTTTGTTCAAGTTTCTTGTCATTTTTATGCTGTGAAATATTACATTGTAATGTGGATATGATATTTAGGCCAGTGGTTGGATATTTTTGGAGTTTATATTATAATATGAATATGAATTTAAGGTATTTGGGCCAAACTGATGTTTAATATTGGCCTAAACATTAGTAACATTTAAGATGTTTAGGCTACTCTTCTGGATTTGCAGTGTTTAGAAAAGTGGTTGGAGTTTAAAGCCAGGCTGCAGAGTGAAGCCTAATAAACTGACAGATTTATTAACCACCCCACTTTCTCTAAGTGCAGTGATGGTTTAGGCTCAAAGACTGTGCGAATCCAGTGATAGCATTGCAAAGTTTAGTTTTTTTCTGTGCTTTAATACTTCTAGTAAAGCTTTTGGTGAAATTCTAGATCCACTGTATGATGTTTAAATAGCACCTTAGCCCCTTATGGCTCTCTTTGCCTGCACTTCTTCATTTAGGCCACTGGGTGTAATCATTCAGTCCAGTTCTTCCATTCATATGTGATTAGATTATGCTTTTCATTACAGAATTGGTCATATTGTGTTAAATTACTGCAGACGTCCTGGCAGTCAGGCATCATAACATGGTGGCTTTACATTTACATTAACTGTTCACTTAACTTACAAAATCCCAGACTGGATTTGGATTCCAGGAGCGGATTCAAATGCCTGCTTGGGACAAATGTGATAAAATGTCTGCTTCAGTGTGTTTTTAAAACATATAACACTTCACAAAATATAAAATCCATATATCATATGCAGGGAAATCATTTGTTTATCTATGTCTTGAATGCAGACAGTGAAAAACCTCACTGATATTCTGTCATCAACTTTGCCAAGCCTTTACCAAATAAAATAATTCCCTACATGCATTTATTTAACTTCTAACCATGTTTAAATAGCTTAGCCTGCAGAGGTTTAATTCTGAACTGTGCTTTATTTCTTCAGCTGTGACGTTCATAGCTGATTTCTTAGACCGTTCAGATATTGTGTGCTTTTGTTAAACTGATATTTACAGTGTGTGAAGTAATCTGCTGTCTCAATATCCCACCAAACTAACATATTATGTATTAGCTGTCTTTCATAACAATGAAATATGATGCATTATTACATGATCTCTGTACCACAGTCACTCTGTGACTTTGCTCTATTGTGTAACATAGTGTGTTAGACACTTGCAGCAGTGCTGCGTGACAGTCGCTCTGCAGCCGTACGCTATCTGATTAAGCTCCTATTCTACAGGTGACGCACACCCTATTGGTTCTGACATAACTGCTTCTTTAAGCAGTGTGTATGTCTGTTGTTCTGTTGGTTATATAAATATAACTAATGAAAGTATCTTTTACGGCATCAGTGATTATGTAAAATATTTTCCAGTAATGTAAAAAGTCTGTCTGTTACCTGTGGGTGCTGACGCATATATAATACATATGAGACATATAATTCATACTGGACACATTATTACAAATAGACACATTACATATAGGCGCTTACATATAATATCTAATATCACTGTCACATATAGAAATGTAGATGTCTTATGTGTACATTACTTATATGTATATAATATATTCCATTATCTGTAATAACAAATAAATGGAACATATAATCATTGCATATATGTGTTATATTATACTCACAGGTCTTCTTTTATGTTTATTATTATATTTGCTATATATTTGCAATAATAAGTTGAGCTTAATTACCTGGAACATATCCACATGGGGAATCTTCTAGTGTTTGTAGGAGGATCATTTAACTTACTATATGTTTTCTCATGTTATTTGTTCTGTTTGCTGAGTAGTGTTATGAGGAAACTATGAGGTTGGAAAAGACACTATTCAAATCAAATTAACATTTTTTGCTTATTATTAGTATGAATTGAGGGATGATTGACAGATCAGAGAGAGAGATAGAGGGAGTGTGTGAGGTATATTGGCTTTGGCTCATGTATCCGGTTGGGTAAATCATTATGTAGCAGGCACGTGTAAAACAATGAGGCAGTGCAGCAAAGGCTTTTAAAATGCTAATAGTCTGATACATTTGCAGAAAATATAGAAATTTAATTCCTTTTCTTGCTGTAAGGCATGACAGTTTATTGGCACCCTTAAAAATTCTGTACTTTCCTGAACACAATAAAAAAAAAAGAGATCAAAATTAGTTTGTGATCCAAATAGTCTAATTTATATTCAAGAAGATGAACAAAAATGAGAATGTACCTGCAAGTGCTTGCAAGACAGTACCTTCAGTTGCATTTTATGTATTTATTCACTTGAATGGAAATTTGTAGAATGATCAGTTTAAAGTAAAACAACAACTGTATCGTTTTCAGGAGGTGGCAAAATGACTCAAGCATACAATTAGGCAGAGTAAAGCTGAATTAGACTAGCTAAGCTAGTTTTAACTTTTCCAAGGTGCCTTATGCACAGTTACTTTTTTAGGCCACACTTTTAGAGAAAAAGGTACGAAAGTACCCCTCTTGTCAGTGGGGTGGGACCCTCAAGGGTCCATCTCAGTACCTTTAGTCAGGGAACATAACTGAACCATAATCCACTGAAATGATATGTTCTAAGCTGTACTGACTCCACACACCCCGTCTCGTCTCCAGGACTTTATTTTACTGTTCTGTTGTAACCCTCCTGTCGTGTTCGTTTTGGCTAACACTCATAGTGTTCCCAGTTGCTTTTGACCGGGATCTTTTTATTCCATTATAAATCAACAATAATACATATATTATCATCTAATGTTGTGTTAGATCTTTTTATGAATTTCAGCTCTTGTGAACATTGTAAGTTTTGAACTTCTATTTGCTGTTTATGTCCTGCAGACCTCATTTACCTGAGCTCATACCGCTCGTTTTTTAGGGAAAAAACATTACATACATATTATTTTGACTATAACGAATACTAAGATGAAACTTGTTGTAGTGTTTGTCACAGAGTACTTCACTGAAAGTCACTTTTTTGAAACCAGTTAAGTTTTCTTAACTGTGGCACAAAATAACAACTTTTGTGTTCCCGGTCAAAACTGACTGGTATGATTTATTTATTGAAAATGAAAGCCCAAATTTACACAGTGAAAATTTAAAAGAAATGCTTGAACCATACACTGCATGAACATATTTACAATTTTCTATTGTACTCTGAAAAGACAGTGTCATAATGTTATCCTTATGTTCCTCAGTTTTGTCCTCTCACGAGCATGTGGGGCAATATACTGTGGTCGTTGCATATTCTTTGTATATATATACATATATATATATATATATATATATATATATATATATATATATATATATATATATATATATATTTATATATACACCGCATCTGTGGCACACAAAGCTAGTTTTTTATCTTGTGCAACACCATGGGTGCATACAAGTTCCATAAAACAAAAAATTTTATAATTAATAAAAAAAATTATTTAAAAATATTTCAGATTTATTTTAGATGTTCAAATACCATGTGTGAACAAAGTCATGGAACCTCATGACAAACAGATGAAATTTACTACATTTTTAAAGAGGAAACCTGTAAATCGGTCAGATTTGACCAGAACAGAATAGGAGGGTTAAAACATTAGGTGCTGAAAAGGTACAAATATGAACTTTTCACCTGGAAAATCCTATTTAAGGTACACAGCTGGTAAATTGATGAACGATAAAAATAACTGTAACCAAAACGCGTTGGCAAAAAGCTAAATGCGCACATTCCAACAGAAGATGTGCTGCCTCGTCATGGTCCATAGCACCACTATAGACGTTTTCCTCAACCACCGGCTCCAGTGAACAAATATCCACTCCCCACTGAGCACTCACTCTCATAGATGCTTATAGTTTTTGAGGGGAATGAAAACTGTTCTACTGAAAGCGGCTGCAGCAGCAACTTCAAAGCACAAACTGCATTCAGTGTAACATTACCAGTGGTGAAATGCTGACACAGAGGTTCTTTTCCTCCATATGACAAAGTTTTTTTTTCCTTTACCATTTGCATAAACAGTTTTTTTTTTCTCTGCTCATTATCAGCGGACAAACCAGTGAAACTGGTTTTGCTTCAAGCTCGAACACAAGTGAGCTGTACATGCTCTACTCATCATCGTTGCTATCGCCGTTGCTTTAGCAGAAGCAGCTTTACCCTGCGGAAATGTGAAAAGGGCCTATCACTGCTGATTGGGTAGTTTTGGTTCCACCCTGAATCTCATTAGACCTTTCCGAAACTACTGAGGTCTGGACCTCTGTGTCTTAATGCTAGTTACAGACATGCTTCTATGTTTTTCCAAATTATTATTTTTTTGGAATAACTGAGCATGTAGTGTTACTTAATTGACTTTCACTTGTAAGCATTTCTTCAAAAAAATTGTGCAGTGCAGTATCCATATATACAGTATATACATACCATCTTTTTTCTTTCAGCTTCTTCACCCCGTACTATGCATCAGATCAGGCGACCATCGACCTGAGCTGTGACACTTGACCCTGTCCATGTCAGGTGAGTCAGAGACAAAGCCATACCTATTCGGGGGTGGGTCCGAGGAGGAGGAGACAGAGTCTCCCTGTGGCTCCATGCCTCATCTACACCGAATGGGTGGGGCTTCAGATGGCAGTGACAGCAGTCATGACCCACCCCCTTCCCCAGGGGCCCGCCCCCCTCTGCATGATGACATAGAGATGGGCGGGAACGGGTCCAGCAGGAGCAGCACAGAATCCCATAGCAACGAGTCACATGGCAACGAGTCCCAGTGCAACGAATCAGTGGGCAGCTCCAATGGGAACGGCAAAGATTCTGCGTTTTTGGAATCATCAGGGAGCAACAAGAGGTGAGAATTTCCTGGGTTGTGTTCTGTCTGCTATTCTACCAGCAATGGCATCATAGATTATTGATACAAGCTATTAAACTTTTAATCCATACCATACTAGCTACTGAAGCCACCACACTGATCAGTCCTGCGGCCAAAATTAAGGCTTTGTATTCAGATTTATAGAACGATCTTTATTGAACATATGTTGTATTCACAATTAACATGATTAGGCACCAAAAGAGTTAAATGTTGCTGTAAAAAGGAAATATTTATTAAAAACTATACACAATAATAAGAAAACATGCTTGCACTTGTGCATGTTTAGCAGTCTGAAGTGTCTCCATGAGGGGGAGCTATTTGCATGCAAGTTGCTTTTGTGTGCATCATTTAAAGAGAAGAAGCAGCTGTGAACTCTCACCACCAGGAGCTTATAGCGATCATTGCTTGTTTAATGTCACTCATAGAAACCAGGAAATAGATCCCAACCTTTTCACTCCACCACTGCTCTGTTTGAACAATTCTGCAGAGGAGAGTGAAAGAAACAGCAATTTTAATCATTATTTCTAATGACGATTAGTGCTACCATTAAATGATTTGTAAAGTCTTAGATTTTTACACTTCGTTGTAAGACAATTTAATCTTCAGGTTTGTCAAAACCTTTGGTTTTAGTCTGTTAATCTTGTTCATTTCCTCCTTTTATTTTCAGCTCAAACTCTCAGAGTCCGTCTCCTCCCAGCAGTTCAAACGCCTTCAGCATGGTGAGCTCAGAACAGGACCATCCATCCACCAGCGGCTGCAGGTAACCGTCACACACACACACTAGAAACAACAGTAACACAGTCATAACACAGTTATACACACCCACAACCAAAATGATTCCACTGCCAGCGGCTTTGGCCAACAATCACACAACCTCTTTAACCTCTTGAATTTCTCACTGGCGTTACATTCACAGTCTTCCTCTCTTTGTCTTTTAAATCATTAAAATCTGCCCTAGTGGACTGGCCATTGGGAATTTTGGGAAATTTCCCGGTGAGCCAGTCTTGTGAGGGCTGGTCGATTTTCCCAACCCTGATGTTATGTAACCTATAAATGTGTGTATATATATATATATATATATAATATATATATTTATATAGTACAGACATCCAATAAGTCATCTTAGCACCAGCATCAGGGTTCGTGTAACCTGCAATTGCAGGTACAGTTGCCATCACAACTGAAGGTGTTGGCGCAACAGCGAAGAAAAGGACGCGGGAAACACAGCACTATCTGTGAATGCTCTTTTGTTGAACAGCAGCAGGGGATAATTGCCTTTCAGCGCTGGCTGCGCTAGGACAGGTCACCAACCAGGTCACCAACAGCCAGACATTTCCACTTGACAGTAGTAACACAATAACCCCTCCCAGCTCAGCAGAGAACGGCACCAATAACACTGACGCACATGTAACATCCACAACAACAACACTCGTTTACAATTAAAGTCTTTCGCTTATTGGGAGTGGAGACTGTGCACATGGTCCCTCTGCATGGCCATTCCTCAGATGCTCATCAGTGTTAACCTCTGCATATGTGTGTTTGGTCTCTGCAGCAGTGAGCAGTCGGCGAAGGAGAAGACGCAGAAAGAACTCTTTAAGACGCTAAAGGAGATGAAGCTTCACCTGCCAGCAGACAAACGCAGCAAAGGACGAGCGAGCACTCTGCACACGCTCAGATATGCACTGCGCTGCGTCAGACAGGTCAAAGGTGAGGACCATGACTGTCTGTGTCTGCGTGTAACTGAATTGATCAGGCTAAATCTCTGAACTTCTCTGGACTTACAAACAAGCTGTTTGTTCCTGAAAAAGTCCCCAGCCGCGTGGGGCTCTAATTCTTCCAGGGGTGCACAACTCCTAGGCCCAATTCTATTTCATCCCTTGCCCCTACCACTTAGCCCTATCCCTCTGTTTTGTGTGTTCATGTCTAGGGGTCCCGATTCTTGTTGAAATAGAGGAGTAGGGAGAAGTGTTAGAGCTACATGGCCCTCCAAACAGAGGTTTTACAGAGACACACTCCCAATAGAGTGTTATGAGAAAAAAAAAAACAGCAAGATAGAGCACAAGAGACCAAACAAACGACAATTGTGAGAATTTTCTCTGTTAAAAATCGTGATAACCATCATATTATCTATTTTCCGTTCCACTTAAATGGTGCAGCAGTTCTGACACCTGAGGCAATTTGAAAAAAAAAATTGAACAAGAATCTGGCGAATAGACGACTTAAGCTTCATATCACTGAAGAATTAGGGGTGGGTGATAATAAATAACTGCCCCTTTTGAAGGCATATGATTCCCTAAATGTAACTAAAGCCCAGCAGTGAGGAGCTGAACTTTACCCTCCTTTGCTATCACTGCAGACTAGCAGGGTCGCCTACAGAGCAGCGCTAGTAGCTGTTAATGAAGTGATGCTCTTTTTATTTGAGGTTTGTCCCATTTTATAGGGAAGATTTCAACCACTAAACTGGAAAACAAAGGGTAGGGGTAAAAATAAGAAATGGGTTTGGTCCCTGGAGGGATGGTGCCCAGTGCAGTTTGGTCATTTTCCTGCTTAAGCACACCCCATTGAAGTTGTATGTTATTTGTCAGGTTTAGTAGGTGTGCTTGAGTAAGGGAGACTCAAGAACCAGAGGTGTGAACCTCTAATCTGTGCCATAAAGAGTATAATGCCGACTTTTTGCAAACTTTCAGAGAGGCCACTTGGGATGCAGGCTTCAGCAGACTTTGCTCATGGAGTTACCCAAAATTTACAGTGAAACACGTGATGTGACGACATAAACAAAGCAGAAGGAGTTATAAAAAATTATAGGGTAACTGGGAGGAAGAGACCTCTCAGGGTAATATGTTCCCCCATCCTTATTTTCTCTACACTGTCTACACTGTAATTTTAGGGAGTTTAACTAGGCTGCCTTAGAATTTAAATTATTCAATTTTCAGGTAGTAAGTTGACAGGAATAAAACACACATTGTCTTGTTCCGTTGACTTACTGTTCAAAATACGGATACTTAAAATTTACATTTACATAACACAACATGAGTATAATGGTTAGAGCCCATAACCTAAAAAAAAGTACTTTCTTTTTTAAAATTAGCGTTTAACGTACCTTGTAAACATCATTTACTGTTTACTCCACAGTCCATCTATGAAAACTAACCTGGAAAAACACCCCATTTTGAATTACTGTTGTGATATATGAGCACCCATTCAGCCTGCAAAAGTTCAGCCCCGCCCATCTAGAGCTGAGTTACTGGAGTGGAAGTTCTGGGAAAACAGTTCCTGAGGAGTTCAGTCCAAACTTAACAGTTTGTTTTCTGCACATGTCAGCCTGATGTACTTGAATAAGAAACAATGTAAGGCAGCCAATCAGAACATATTTATACATACATCAGTAGATATCAGTCTTAAAGTCACAGTAACAAAAACACGGTCATATAAAAAAGTAGCTATAATAAGCTGTTTTTGGTACTCTTTAAAACAAAAAACCTGATTTAATGTTGATGTGAGTGTGTTAGTGAAAATATTTGCATTGTGAGTATGTATGCATTTACGTCTTGGTTCTAAAGCACATGTTGTTCTCTGTAGCTAATGAAGAATACTATCAGATGCTGATGATAAATGACAGCCAGCCACTCGGTCTCGATGTGTCTTCCTACACCATTGAGGAAATCAACAGCATCACCTCGGAATACACTCTGAAAAACACTGTGAGTCACACACATGCGCACACGCACAAACAAACAAGCCACTTTAGGGTGCACCCATTTGCTAATACAGGTAAAATTGCATGCATATAGTTTATAATCTACATAGAAAAGCACTGACCAATAGATCTGGACAGCCTGGAGCAGATCACCAAGCCCAGTGCCAGCCATCGACTAGAGGGCTATAAAGCCCCCAGCATAGGGCTGTAGAGCAGCGGAACTATGTTCTCTGGAGTGATTGAGCTCCATCCAATACCTTTTAATACCCCTGATTTCAAAACAAATGTTGGATGAGCAGGTGCCTCAAGACTATTAGACATATAGTGTATGCTTTAACATCTAAACATCCTGCCTGCATGTTGGGAGCATTGTGGATTGTACATTCACTGTCCATCAAACTTTGGAGAATATCTGCGTTTTCAAAATGCAAGTACCAAAAAAGGTATTTTCCTTGTTGGTTTGCTGTAGCTTAACATATTAAAGCAAACAGGTTTGTATACAGAAAAACATTATCGCATGTACAGTCAACAAAGTTAATACATTCTTGACAGAAAACATAGTTAGTGTTAATTTGCTAAATTTAACATGTTGGAAAAAATAATAAAACATAAAATGTAGCCTGTACAAAAGTTATGGCACATTTAACATTATATGCTTTTACTTTCCAATATGCTAAACTCATAATTGTGCACTAAAATTTGTAGAAAAATGCTAAATTTCAGTCTTCCCTGTAAAGGATGTGTCTTGTTTTCACAAACCAAGAAAACATGTAATTAAACTGTTTCATACGATTGCAGATATTTGCCAATATTACTAACAGTGCTGCGTTGAGCATGACCAACCTCTTACATTGTATGCCCTGGTTGTGATGTCAGCACTTGTCAGCGTTCATACCTTTCAGCTGTTTAAACCACCTATGGGACAAAAGAGTTTGGGACTTAAATCATTATTTATTCCTGCTCTTGATACCCAGGAAGACATGATAAACATGAAGCTGGTTGTTAAAGCTAAATGTGCCTAACATAAAAGTAAACAGCTGCTCTATGGTAACAAAATCATCATTAAAAAGCAAGAGTGAAAATGAATGAATATTTTGAAAACTTCAAAAGAAAGGAAGGCCTCCCCACACTTTTGATGGGCAGTGCACATCTATATGTACAATGATATTCATAGAGATTGTTTCCTGTGTGTTTAGGATATCTTTGCAGTAGCGGTGTCTCTGATCACGGGTAAAATCGTGTACATATCAGAGCAGGCTGCAGGGATTCTGCACTACAGGAAGGATGAATTTAAGGACAGGAAGTTTGTGGAGTTTCTGACGCCGCAAGATGTCAGCGTTTTCTACAGCTTCACCACGCCATACAGACTGCCCGCCTGGAGCATGTGCACTGGAGCAGGTTAGTATACACACTGAAACACATACTTACACACACATCCACTTTCCACTAAAGCCCACCTTGTTGTTGCACTGTCCACCTTATAGGTCCACTATATAGTACAATTGCTGCAAGGTTGGACAAGTTTTATAGAACATTGACAACCTAAGAGAAACTGCTGCATTCTTGTCCAAATACGTTTATTATGTATGTTTGTCAGAGTTAACGTTTACTACTTAACTTCGCTGAGTTGAGGAGCTCAAGTACATCATTAATCATATCTGGTACCATAATTTAAATACTGAAATCACTATTTAGGTTTTAGTTACGCTGCATCATGGAAAGTCGTCGAGAAAACATACAGTTTTAATTTGCAATTAAGTAATAATAAGGTGCTTTTTCACTGCATGGTCCCAGCACGACTCCACTGGCGTTTTTTGGTTTTTCTATTAGGCAAAAGTTGGTACCCGGTACTTTTTTGGTACCATTTCCGTTATGGTTTCCACCGAGCTGAGCCAATGCCAAAAGGTGATGTAAAAACACTACAGACTGCTGATTGGTCAGAGAGATTCGCTAAACACATATGCTAACATTAGCTACCAAGTTAGCATAGCCTCTGAGCAACCAGAATTGTCTCGTTGTCTGAACTCTGATGCAGGTTTTCCCAAACTCTCCTTTTTTGTCAACAGTCTGCTGTCTTGCTGCCATTACGCTCTTCTGAACAAAATTTATCTCCTTCACGTCACAGCAGTTTCATTTGGTGTTGCTATGACGACCAGCTACATTGAGGGGGCGCTATATCTGCAGTGGAAAGCGAAGTAGCTGGTACCAAAAGCGAGTTGAACCAAGTCGAGTCGGTACCACTCAGTGAAAAAGCTGCTTTATACTTTGGCACTACAAAACACAAGTGCCTTAAGGGAATTGATCACATTTCTGCAAATTACCCCAGATGAGATGTAATCGATCAGTCAAGGCATGTTTGGTGTCCAAATTTTACTTCTTTATTTTTGCACTGCAGCTACAATGCTAAAGGGCTAATAAACACTAAAAGTCAGTAATCACCCATATCTGTTCTGTAAATACATCCCCAAAAGGATCATTAACATCTTCTTTAACATCGTGCAGGCCTGCCGATATGGTTTATCGACAAGCCTGCACTTACTGTATGACTTACTGTGAACTATAAGAAAGAACAAAACTTCCACCTTTTTGTTCTCAGAAACACTTTTGACTAGATTTTAGTTGAGTGGTAGATCATTTTCAGCACAGCAGTGACACTGACATGGTAGTGTGTGTGGCAGTGTGTGTGGTACTAGTGCATCAGGCACAGCTGTGTTGCTTGAGTTTTACACACATTAATGTCACTGCTAGACTGAGAATGTTCCACCACCTAAAAATATCTGGCCGAGAGTGGGCTTTTAGTCAGTTTACTGAATCTCTCACTACATCATTTATTCAGTTATTACATCAGCAACAGACCGTTCTTCTCTTTCGCCTTTTCTCATACAGAGTCATCCTCCACAGAGTTCATGCGGGAAAAGTCCTTCTTCTGCCGAATCAGGTGAGACAATTTGTCCTGTCATCTCCTGATGGAGAGAAAGACAGAAAGATTTGTTTTCAAAAATATTTCTGTCAATATTACAGCACTGTTTTGAGCTGAGAGAGAGAGAGAGAGAATGAAGTGAGAGTTGACAAAAGAAAGAAAGAGGCTTTTCGAGCAAAACCCTTTATTTTTGTTACCCGAGGTTACGTTTAGGCTAAATTGCATGCAGATAACTTCAGATACGTACAGATTAATGGTAGTCATCATTCAGCACCAGGTTTGGCTGATTAGTCCTTCATCATGTTAAATCAAGTATGCTGGTAATGGAATTTAACAAGTCTTTGAAATGATTAGGGGCATCAAGGAGAAATCTTTAACTTTATAAGAGAAGGAAAAATTATTTGTAACTTTTAATGTAAGTTAATGTAAAGATTTAATTTCAAGGAATTCTGGATGATTTTATTTGGTCCAATCATCATGACATTTTAACTCAATGTAAAAGGCAGTTGGCATTTTCACATCATTTAAACAAATATGTGTGTTTAAGTGTTTTGGGGCCATTTCTTTTGGTCCTTTCATCATGAAATTTATACACAGTATAAAGGCCAACAGGCATAGTCAAATTATGTCAAAAACTGAAAAATGAGCTATGATTTGTTTAAATATAGGTATGAAACCCAACCTCAGTGTGCCTCTGTATTGTATATGTGTGTACAGTGGCGGTAAGGAGAAGGAAGGTGGTCTGCAGTATTATCCGTTCAGGATGACCCCGTATCTGATGAAGGTTCAGGATGCAGAGCTGTCAGAGGAACATTTCTGCTGTTTAATCCTGGCAGAGCGAGTACACTCAGGATACGAGGGTAATTACACACACACACTCACAACACACCACTTTTAAAACACACTACCCAAGTACTTTATTTGCTCTCCTGTCTGTATTGACTTTACTGACTGAGCTGTTTGCTACCGTATGCTATTTGCTCTGTAAACGATATTTAAATTAATATAGAACTGATGAATTACTCTGTGGCTCAGTTTTGATTGTGTTTGATTGTGTTTCTGTATCTTTCTGTAGCACCTCGAATTCCACCAGACAAGAGGATCTTCACCACAACACACACACCCAACTGTGTGTTTCAGGACGTTGATGAGAGGTGTGTTTAGGGGTGGGCGATATGACGATGATTAATTATGATGATCAGTCATTTGAAAGCTTCATCAAAAAAGTACGGCAGGGAGTGATGTACATCTCATGATCTAATTTAAAGTCAATTAACTAATGAGACAAATTTTTAGAAGATGCAAAAATGTTAATACCACATTTATTATACGTGGTTGAGATTGCACTAGAAATGTGACTACTGAGCTGCACTGATTCTACATGATTTTGGGGGGGTTCTGGTGGGGGGGTACTGTGTGCTGTTACAACAGGCAAGTATCCTGTGCAAAAAAACATCTTTGTACATTTTCAGGCATCAGTGTGTCATACGCATAAAAACTTCATACTCGGTTTTAAATAGCCTTTTTGTAAAATTTGTAAATTAAATTGTAAAAAATGTACAAAAAGTTGTACATTTCAACTTCTTTACAAACCTCAGAAACACAAGTATCATGATACATCTAGTGCATGTGTCAGGCTCCAGTCCTCATGGGCCAAAACACTTTAGCACACTGCTTCATTAAACACACCTGATTCTGCTCATCAGCTAATTAGCAAAGCCTTTATAAATTGAATTCAGAGTGTTAGATGAGGGTAAACGCTGATCTCTGCAGCACGGAAGGTCCCCAGTTTGACACGCCTGATTTCCAAAAAAGTTGGGACACAGTGCAGAATGTAAATAAAAATAGAATGCAAAGATATGCTAACCATGTAAACCATATTTTTAAAGGAAACTACAACAAAGGCAACATATCAGATGTTAAAACTGAGAAATTCTATTGAAAAATATTTTTGAAATATTTTTGAAAAATATATACTCATTTTGAATTTGATGCCAACAACATGTTCCAAGAAAGTTGATTTGTTGGACCACAGGACACTTTTCCACTTCCCCTTTAGTGCATTTCTGGATCCTGTTTTATATGATTTCTTCTTTGCATTTAAGAGTTTTAGCTTGCATTTGTGGATGCAGTGGTGAACTGTCTGTGAAAATCTGCAGTGCCCATGCAGTGATTTCCACTACAGAATCATGTCTGTTTTTACTGCAGTGCCACCTGAGAGCCCAAAGATCACGGCCAGCAAATACTGGTTTTTGGTCTTGTCCCTTACATACAGAGATTTCTCCAGATTCTCTGAATCTTTTAATGATATTATGTACCGTAGATGATGAAAAGCAAAAGTTCTTTGCTATTTTATGTTGAGAAACGTTTTTCTTGAACTGTTGCACTATTTAATCGTGCAGTCTTTCACAGTGGTGAACCCCTCCTCATCTTTACTTCTGAAAGACTCCGCCTCTCTGAGATCCTTTTTATACCCAATCATGTTACTGACCTGTTGCTTTTTTGGAAATGGTGTTGTATTGTAAACTAATATTTTTTTTGCCATATTGCCCACTCAGAAGTGCATTGCTGTCTGGCTTTGTGTAACACTCTTGTCTGTGTTGTAGGGCCGTGCCTCTGTTGGGCTATCTTCCACAAGACCTAATTGGGACCCCTGTCCTTCTTCACCTTCACCCCAATGACAGGCCGCTGATGCTGGCAGTGCACCGCAAGAGTAAGAAACTTAGGTTTATTCATGCTACAGACGTATGCAAATAGAAGATGAGTGGGCAGTAAGAGTGTTGCCCAAGGACTCTTGGTACGTTGTGCCTGGCTGGGGAATCACACCCTGGTTTGCTACATATATAATGGTCTGCCACAAATATAATGCAACGATATGTAATGCAGGATATATTAGTTACATTTTGTGTATTAATACAGCTATTGACATTAGAAGGACAGTGCAGTTGACTTTTGAATTTTGTACATTATGGAGTTTTGAACTTGTCATGGTGAAAAGATAACCTTCAGATTTGTGCGAAAGGACAGATGGTTTAACGTATATTAGGCTTTAAAGTACACCCACTGTGCATATAACAAAACTGTTAAGTTTGCGTGCACTCATTTTGCAATCACATTTGAACATACACGGCTGTTATGTCTAGCATGATGCAGTAATCCTATTCTGTCTCTGTGAGGAAGCTAAATTTAATCTTACGTAATCCAATGTAATATTATGACATTATAACCAAAATGTCACACATTTGACTCAGCTTAGGAGGATAAGTAGGCGGTGGAATTATGAATAAAGTCATTAGATACTGTTCATCAAATGTATCGTCTTTTTCGTTGCTCTGACTTTTTGGCTTTTTGTTCAATCAACTTGATAAAAAAAGTCATTTTTTAGTAACAGAAACAGCCTGTTTAATCGTACAGCAAAAAAGACATGCACACTTTCTCACGCTTTTTTCTTGTGTTTTATGCAGTTCTGCAGTACATGGGGCAGCCTTTCGATCACTCCTCCATCCGCTTCTGCGCTCGCAATGGCGAATACGTGACCATAGACACTAGTTGGTCCAGCTTTGTCAACCCCTGGAGCCGGAAGGTGTCCTTCGTTATCGGAAGACACAAAGTCCGCATGTGAGTATCCAACACACACACATGTACACACATCACCAGTGTAGAACTGGCTTGTGTCTACACATCTCTGGGTCGACAGGTACACATACCCATGTATGTATCTCTACGTGTGTTACAGGGGTCCTGTGAATGAAGATGTGTTTTCTGCTCCTGCTTTCACTGAAGGGAAAATCATGGACTCAGATATTCAGGAAATCACTGAGCAGATACACAAACTACTGCTACAGGTACACACACAAACACACACACACACATACACAAGACATTGAGTCATACATATACATAAGTGTTATATATAAATACTGTGTAAAAGTCAGAGACCACCCCTTATTAAAACAATTAATTTTCTAGTCAAAATGGCAGTTAAGAGTTAATATATTCATTAATGAGCCAACAAGTTATTCACCTTTCGGTGTCACAAAAAAATAAAAACAGAAAGCATTAACATTTAAATATAATTACCTCCAAAATTCAGCCTTAGAAGTTACATGTTTTCTGCTTCACACGATCCAAGTAAAACACAGTAAATGATGTTGAGGTCTGGATGTTTTCAGATCTGAAGCAGCTTGATTTTCTCCTCTCTCTCAAAGATGAAAGCTTTATGTGCTGTTTATCTGATGGCGGCACAGATGTTAGGAGCCACATTTTCCCTAATAATATATGTTCTGTATCATTTTTTGAACTCTAAAAATAAAAATTAAAAATTAAAATAAGGTGGTCTCTCACTTCTGCACAATACTATATGTATATGTATATTTACAATATATGCTTGTCTGGCAGCCAGTACACAGTATGGGCTCTAGTGGTTACGGTAGCCACGGCAGCAACGGTTCTCACGACCACCTACTCAGCGTGGCCTCGTCCAGCGACAGCAACAGTAATGGCAACATGGCCATGGGCAACGGCAACACTGGTCAGGAGGAGGGAAGCAAGACCAAACCAGTGAGCTTTACTCACACACACACACACACACACACAACCTTGTCCCCTGGTTGCTTTCTCTCTCATACTTTCTTATTATTGCTCAGCAGTCTATACAGTCAGATGCAAAAGTTACATGGTTGCTTGATTTTCCAAGTGAAAATAAGTTAACACATCCGCTACAGGTAGCACACTTACATATGGCATTTTTATAATATTATAAAAAAAAAAACAAAAAAAAACATGAAACTGTCCCATAACTTCTGCACAGACCACATGTTATGGTTTATTTTTTATAACCAAACTGCCATCAGATTAGCTTTAAAAATATGGTGACACCAGAGGCCGCCACTATACCAAATGATGGAGTTTTACACTTACAGGTGGGGAAAAAATGAATGGATGTTTTCATTTTGACCCTTAATTTTGTTTTGTATTTTTTTGTACAGAGAACTTTTCAGGAGATTTGTAAAGGAGTTCAGATGCTGAAGACTCAGGACCAGCAGGGCTCCACTGCTAAATCCGATCAGAAAAAGAGCACAGAGAGTAAGCACTCTGAAATGTTGTATCTAAAAAGTGCATTAAGTAAATCATAAATAAAATAAAGAATAAAAGTGTGTGCAGCAACATAAAAAAGTAGTTTGAGGCTTAATGCTGAGAGTATTTTGTTATTATGTTATCAGAGGAGTCAATATAAAATGTATGTGTGTGCAGCAGGGTTAAAGGCTCCAGCTGTGAAGCAGAAAGACGCTCTGGTGGTCAGAGATGGTACTGCAGCGGTGGAGGAGTTGAGGGACCAGACCTTGTACTCTTATCAGCAGATCAGCTGTTTGGATAGTGTGATAAGGTGTGTGTGTGAATGATTATGTTCATAGTGTATTGTATTATGTTTGTAGATTTTTTAGAACACAAATTATCCACTGGAGCTTAGGCTCATTACCGTGCCACAGTTTGACAGTGTCCGATCTGATGGTTACCCCACCGTTGACTTTTTCAAAATACAGATTAAAATGCATTTATGTCTGTTACTATGTGCCAGACATGGGGAAATGGGTTGCACATCTGTCGCATGTTGGTTGACTCATAACTCTGACTCTTCTGCCTCAACTAGCTATCTAGTAAAGTGTGTTGGTGAGATAGCTCACACTACCATTAGGTAAAACCTTTAAGGTTGGCGTTTAGCGTTGTTACTCCCCAAGCACATTAACTACTGTAAATTCCTTCAAAATAAAAGGGTTTTAACTAATGTTAATGTGATCTACCATACCAGCACTTAAGCTACCCAGCTAACGTCCGAGGTAGGGTTCCTTCTGCGTGCTTTGCTTAACCTGGGGCTTGTTCTGCAGGGCTTCAGCATGTCACTCTGATTTTAGGAGGCTGAATATATCGGATGATATAATTTTAGATTTGTCATAGATGTTAATTTCATACTTCCAATAATTTTTTGTCAAACAGTGTTTTACTGACAGATGTGATTGAATGCATTTACATGCAATTACTAATCCAGTCATTATCGGATTTCGGCAGCTATCTGTAAAATCTTGAGTTAAGACAAAAAGATAGACCCCTTTTGTCTTAAGATCTGACAGGTCAAGATAAGAACTGTGAGTTGTGAATACTGTGAGAGCGCCCCCTGTTGTTTATCAGAGCGTCACCGCTCCCCAGTTTCAGTCTCCATTTCCCAAACGCTTTAGCCAAGCGCGCTAACGTTACTCCTCCTAAGATAGAAACGGACCTTAAACAGAAGTTAGGGCCCTGTTGGGGTTCATCCTAAAGTTAGGACAGTATTTAGGAGGTTTAGTCTAGTTAGGATGTTTGTGTGATACTGTTTTCTTATTTGGAGTTAATGAGATTATGAAGTTAGGAGATGGTGTTCAGTCATAACTGAAGTCGTCATGATGACAAAACAGATAGATTTCAGAGTTATGAAGTTTCTGTAATACGGCCCCTGGAGTTTTCCCATTATCTGATTACCCAAGTGCATGTAAACGTGTTAAACAAATTACTGTCAAAATCTAATTTTCTACAGTTATCAGATTATTAATTGTATGTAAATGTACTCATTGTTAACTTAAACACTCTGTGGTTTTGGTTTGTTTGCCTATATTGCTGTTGTAAAGTTAAACAGGGACTTGCTCATATTGGGCTCCCCACAGCTCAAGTGTCTAAAGACTTGCTTTATCTTGACGACATAGCAAGGTGAAATCCTGACAATGCGTTTGCATTGATACCAGTAAAACTGTGGGTCATAAGTATCAGCCAACCAATATATCAGTCAGGCCCAACATGACACATTTTGGGCTGTTATCATACGCAGTAGTGCTCTGAGACCATGTTGGCACCACCGTATGAGAGTGACCATTCAGAAATGACTGTTACCAAGTTCACCTGTCTGTATGTTTCAGGTATTTGGAGAGTTGTAATGTACCCATTACAGTGAAGCGGAAGTACCAGTTCTCCTCCAACACCACCTCCTCTAACTCAGATGAGGAAAAGAAAGGGTCAGATGGAGCCCTGCAGAGCCTGGAAGGTGAGCAATGCTACCAAAACTACACTGCGTTTTGAACGTTTGTAGTATCGACATTTTCAGATATAATCATTAAATAATGTTTTAAAATGTTTTAATGTTTTAAATAGCAATTTTATGAGCCTACATTTCACATGTTTAAAAGCCTACATCGTTAACAATCTTATCTGATAGCCAACTGAGAAAAAGGTTATGTGCAAAATAAAATATCTTCATTGTGGTTGGCCTGTTGGTGTTTATTTATTAAGGCTACTATAACTAACTAGGCTAACCGCTAGTTTTCTTGGTAATGCTAAAGCTGCATCATGTGTGATTGCAAAGGTTTTGGATTCATAATTAATTTAATGTAATTTATTTAGAATTTAAATCAAAGCTGACGGAATATAGCATTTGTACGTGAACTGTAATTAAAATTAGATTGTTTAATGATTTGTAATGTGTTCAGATCCATATATCAATATTCTATCCACTGAGTAACCTGCATCTTATTTAACTACTTCAGACTCACATATTGCATATATGGAAATGTGTACAAATGTACATATCATAGTATTTATGTCATAACTTGTATTACTGTATAAAAACTGTACATTGGAATGGTGTAATATTGGTGTATACTAATGTGTATATTGTGTATATGGGTATATACTTACAGTCTAATGTTTATATAATTTGGTGACATATATATTTTTTGTATATTTAAGTACTACAAGAGGGATATGCACCCAAGATTTTTACTCACCTTCGCACCTGTGTAAATGTGATGTGACAGTAAACATTATTTGATTTGATTTGAGTTAATATTTAATGTAATATCTAGCATTTCTAGCATCAAAGTATTAGGGCATGATGAGTGCATTTTACGTGAACATACTTGCAGACCACTGTCGTAAACAGTAAACATATAAACATGATGTAAATTCTTCTGACAAATAATTGGGTCCTTCATAGCATTTACATAGTAAATGTAGAGCACACGTGGTACATGTAGGGGTTTATATTAGTTTATATCAGACAAAACAGATCCCAAAAAAGAGAAAAGCAGAGCCTATTAAACAGATGTCAGATGTTACACTGAATGTTTCTTTCTGTTAATCCTTTCTAGATCCTAGATCCAGTAAGAAGCCTCCGGCTGGCCCTGCCGCTGTGGTCAGTGGGACTTTGGCTCCTTTACCCCTGCCTACTAAACCAGAGAGTGTGGTGTCCATCACCTCTCAGTGTTCATACAGCAGCACCATTGTACACGTGGGAGACAAGAAACAGCCAGAATCAGGTACAAACACACACAAATGTGCACACACATGCTTTTTTTGTAAACATAGCAGAGAAATCACAGCCAGTTTGTGTCACTTGTAATATGCCAAATAGCCTAACATGATAAATCACGTCACATTACGTCAAAATATTATTTTCTGATTATATTGTGGATATCGTCAGTACTTGAAGAACACTGACCAACTGCATGTTCTATTACATGCATAATTAGTCCTGTTTTAATTTAGTGTCATGCATTGTGTGAAACATTAAATATCTATCTAATTATCTATTTGTCTATACTTTCATCTACTTACATTTGCAGAGATCATTGAGGATGTAGCAGAAAGCCCCGCCCCTCCTGCGCCCATCAGCATGGTGTCTCCACCCACAGTGGAGCAGGGGGCCTACCGGAAGCTGGGGCTGACCAAACAGGTGCTTGCCGCACACACACAGAAAGAGGAGCAGGCGTTCCTGAGTCGCTGCAAAGAACTGTGCCAGAGCTGGACGCTACAGAAAGACGGTCCAGCTAATGCGGCCAGAAACCGCGGACAAGCTAACGATGGTAGAATACACACACAGACACTGTTTCATTGATATGCAGCTCAAGGGGCTGTTGAACAAGCATGAGTTAAAACAAAATGCTGCTTTGGTTTAATTCTAGATCTGTGATGACCTAAAAATCTGATTTGTAATAGAACAGGGGCTCTTTACCTTTTACAGGGTATGCTCCTTTTTTAGGATTAAAAATATTTTGCAGCCCCCCTCCTTCCACCACTTCTGCCCCACACACTAGAAATTATAGACCCCATGTTGTGACCCCCAGGTTGAGAACTCCTGGAATAGAATGAAGTCTGCCAGGCACAAATTCAGCCAGTAATCATATTTGCAGTTTTCTTTTTTAGTCACAATATAGTCAACCATGCAAAGTGTGCTAATTGGTGAGGTATAAGCTTCCATTACCTATTAGCTACATTAGCCTATTAGCTCCAGTGCAAAACTAAAGAACACAGGGGTTGCAACCCAAATGTTAAAGAACTATTTTGTCCTTTCAACAAAAATCAAACCACCTTAGGAGCCACAACATTTTATGTCCATTTCACCATTTTGGCTGTAAATATGTCTTAGTATGTGCTAATGTCCTAGGAAATATAAAATAAATGAAAACACAGACTTACTTTGCTCTGCTTTAAGCTTTAGCTCACCTATAGCAGCTTTTCCCGCATCTCCAGCGGGAAACTTTTCATCAAAAAGTAGAACAGCTTCTCGTAAAATGTCTCTCAACATTTGACTTTTAACGAGGCTGAAGTCACTTGTCATTCACCAGCTTCTTGTTCGAATTTTCCCATTCCACCATAAATGGTGCCTGAGGTGCCAGAATGTAACTTCCGCACCATTTAAGGTGGAAGGAGAAAATTTGAACAAGAAGCTGGTGAATGAGATGCTGACTGCAGCTTTGCAATGTTTTAGTGTTTGATAGTTTCTCGTTGCAGATTAAACATATCAGGAAACCAGCTGGAGTGATTATAAATGTAAATAATTCCATTTATCTGCAAATTATTGATGTTCGTCTTAAATTTCTCTCTTCGTCTTTTCGTTAGCTACTAGCTAGGCGAGACCGTTGTCTGTGTTGCTATGGTGAACAGCAGTCTATGCGCCAGTCTTCAGGGTTAAAGGGTGAATTAGCAGTTCTACATTAACTCCAGCGTTTAAGACCATTTACTGTTAAACTGTGTTGAACGATCAGCAGAGCTTTATTTTACTGTAAAGGAGGATTATTTTATTTTTACCTAAAAATCTAATTCTGCCATGAAGCCGCAACAGGCAGTAAAAGAGCCAAATGTTGCAGACACCTGATCTAACAAGTAATGGAAGCTTAAATCTAACCAACTGTGTAAATTTCCTGCCTAAACAATTTCACACTTGCTTCATACCAGTACAAATATAAAGAGCCCAAAACTTAAGATATTAGTCTTCGCTGATTGTCTACATTTAGTGTATGGAGGAAAACTGTAAATTTGATTTTTCACTGAATTATTGCTGTAAGTCTCTCTGTCACACTAAACTCTCTGAATATTTCTTTCTCTGTCACTCTGTGTCTCTTTTAGTTCTATCAGGACCTCATGCATCCAAACCAGGCGCATCTGGTGCAGAACCAGCCACTAAACGTAGCGGCCGAACCAGGAAGTCAAAGAAACCTCGCATAAACAAACCTGATTCGTCAGACAGTGCTGCGTCTCAGCGGATGCGCCGGCCACCTCTGCAGAGCCTGAATCAAACATCCTGGTCTCCATCCGAGGCATCTCAGTCTGCGTTTTCAGTCCCATACCCTGCTTTGGTCCCGGGATATCCACTTTACACAGCTGCTCCTCCACCCGCAACTACACTGCCCCCTAGTGGCGAACGGAACCCAGCCGGAAGCTTTGCAGAGGCTCCGAATGCTCAGGCGGCACCCACTGCCCCACCATACCCTGCCCCATTGGTTACACCAGTGGTGGCATTTGTTTTGCCCAATTATGTGTTTCCTCAACTCAGCACGGCGCCACGCCCACCTTTCTATGCAGAACCCCAACAAACCTACAACAACCAGCAACCCTTTCAGCACCAACCAACTGTAAACCCCCAGCAACCCCTCCAACCTCAACAGAACTACACTACCCAACAGCCCTTTCAACACTCTCAACCACAACAAGCATACAACACCCAGCAACCCTTCCAGCCCCAACAAGCTTATGCCACTCAGCAACTCTTTCAGCCCCAGCCAGCCTACAATAACCAGCAATCCTTTCAACCGCAGCAGACTTACACCGTACAGCAAGCTTTCCAACCTCAAACAGCATATAGTTCCCAGCAACCTTTTCAGCCCCAGCAAGGCTACACTGCCCAGCAACCTTTTCAACCTCAGCAGCCCTTCGCTAACCAGCAGCAAACTTTTCAGCCCCAAACTCCTTTCAACCCCCCGCAGCCGTTTCAAATGCAGACCCAATTTGCTGCGCAGACGCCGTTCTCTCCGTACAGGATGACCTCTGATCCCAAACCTCCTGCTAATGAAGCCCCAGACGTGACATCCCCGCCTCCCTCACCCCATTCTCCTCCCCTTTTTGGCTCCCACTGTAGCTCTCCCCTGCAGCTGGACCTGCTACAGCTGGAGGACAAGCCAGACTCACACAGCACAGCGGCCCCTTCAGGTTCCCAGGGGATCTGCAGCTCAGCACAGGAGAAGAGCAACACAGTCAGCAGTAGCGCCACTGCTGTGGCAGGGGAGGCACAACAGGTGAGAGACTTGTGTTATTTGACGTAAATGGAGTAGTGTTGGGATATGTGATAAGTGTTGCATTCTTCATCTTCTAGAAAATGCGCACACATATTTTCAGGTAAAGTGGCGCGATACTTAAAAAAAAAAAGTACCGGCATGAAGTTTGAGTTTTACATTACGTTTACGTCACGTCGTCTTCTGTGAGTTTATTGGCTAGTTGCAAAGCAGAAACCCAGTTACTGCCTGGGTTGACCAAGATGTTGACCAAGAGTTTTCCCATTATCTGATTACACAAGTGCATGTAAAAGCGTTGATCTTCTGACTTTCTGCAGATATCGGAATATTAAGTACATGCAAACACACTCACCGATTCATAAGGGTACTTAGCTAGTTAGGTCCTTGGGTTTGATTGGAAAGATCCTTTTGACCGACATGTACAGTGACCAATTACAGACTTGTTGTATGTTTAGCACAATGTGTGCATAATGAAAATGAAGACATGCCATACCGGCCGTCATGGATATCTTGTTTATTTGCATCTCTGGTTTAAACTAAATTCTTGAATAACTTTTTTTTTAAAAGCTGTGTAAAACTCTTAAAATCTCATTTTTTATTTGTACCCCTACCCCTTGTTTTCGAGGGCAAGGGGTAATGGTTGAAATCTTCCCCTATGAAATGGGACCCTCAAATAAAAAGAGCATCACTTCATTAACAGCTACCAGTGCTGCTCTGTAGGCGACCCTGCCACTCTGCAGTGACAGCAGAGGAGGGTAAAGTTCAGCTCCTCACTGCTGGGCTTTAGTTACATTTAGGGCATCATATGCCTTCAAAGAGGGGGGCAATTATTTATTATTACCCACCCCTGGTTCTTCAGTGATATGAAGCTGAAGTCAGCTATTCACTTAAATGGTGCAGCTTCAGAACTGCTGCGCCATTTAAGGTGGAACAGGAAATTTGGCTAGCTGGCTACAGAGACATCAGCATACTAATAGCAATTTTTTATGCTTGTTATAAAGAAATAGACCATAATTGAAATGACATTAAACTAAGAATAGTTGTCATTATGTTTTAACAGAGAAAATACTGACATTTGTGGGTTTCTTTGGTTGCTTGTTCAGCCATCTTGCCAGTTTTTCTTTTTTTCTCATAACACTCTGTTTGGAGTCTCTGTAAAAGCTCAGTTTAGATGGTCATGTTTCCCTAACACTTTGCCCCACCCCTCTATCTCAACACAAATCGGGACACCCTACCCCTAGATATGAACACACAAAACGGCGGGGTAGTTCTAAGTGGTAGGGGCGAGGGGTGAAATGGGATTGGGCCTTAGTGTGCTGTTTACATCAGATGTGCATATAACTCTGTGAGCAGAGTGTCTGAGCCTACTAACTTAAACACAACAGAAACTCCTTCTCAATGTATATCATGGTTTTAAGAGATAAAGATCTGATTGACAAGTTAGATGATTTCTAGGAACTAAAAAATACATGTTTGTATAATCAGAACGCACAACAAAAATTTGTCCAGTTGTTTCCCCATGGTATCGAGGATGGACACAGCCAAGCTACTGCTGTGTTAGGTTAACTACCAACATGGTTAGAAAATGACAGTGGAATCAACCAATCACTCTTTGATTGATAATAGGTGGAACCAATATTACGAGAAAAAAATTGGGAAAAAAGCTTGGATTAATTATATTGTATATAATGTGAATCTTTCAGTCTTGCTGCCTGGGAGACGGAAGACGAGGCGACGGTCACTCTTCGTCCAGCGACCTAATGGAGCTGCTAATGCAGGAAGACTCTCGCTCCGGAACGGGCTCGGCCACCTCCGCCTCCACAGGCTCTGCCTCCAACGGCTGCAACACCTCCAACAGTGGCACAGGTGAGTGCAAAACACGTAGAGACATCAAACTCATTGATGCCATCCCAACATTTAGAAGGACATTTGGCCCCGATTACACCTGGTATTAACGTGCGTCCTAGGTGATCTGATCTTAGATAGACCGCATTAAGTGCAAGTATAAACGTACATAACCTTTGTGGTATGAACGCTGAAGCATCTCGATGCGTCTTCAGCAGTGGACCGCCTTAATCAGCTGTCTCATCACAGCAGAGAGGAAAGAAGCTATTTGTTCATCTCCTTTCCCATTTGCAATTCATGCGATCTAACTCTTTGCAAAAGGCCTTACATTTAGATGAACTATGACTTGCATGGAAATTCTTGTCTAACAACAAACGCAGCAAGAGACTGAGGTCATAAATGTGAGTGGTCCCAGCCACGACATCTGATCAAATGTGGCCACGGGCGATGCATTTGAGATATATGAAAATGCTTGGTCTAAATGGCTATACTTCTCATTGTCCTCTTAAGATCAGATCACTCGAGACAGGTGTTAATACCAAGAGTGAACAGGGCCTTAGATTCTTTAAACCCTTACACAGGTCTGTGTACAGAATACGAATAATAAGCTATGTTGTGTTGTGGCTCACTTTTTTATGTTGTGGCTGGCTTCGCAGCATTTCTGAAGCTTCTGTTTTCTTTATTTGCAGTGTGTTTGTAAAATATAGCTCCGATGTAGTCATTTTGATGAGAGTGCTTTCTGTATTTGCAGCATGTTTGCAAAATGCATTTCATGTGCAGTAATTTTGATAAAAGCAGTGCGTTTATGAGTTTGCAACATGTTTTTAATTGTACTGTGAATAGGGTCTTGTTGGCTACCATACCTTAACCCTCCTTTTATTTGACTTACAGGAAGCAGTAATACAAGCAAATATTTCGGGAGTGTTGAGTCCTCTGAAAATTACCACAAGGAGAAGAGGAAAAAAGATGGACAAAACTTAAAATATGTCCTTCAAGATCCGCTCTGGCTGCTGATGGCCAACGCTGATGACAAAGTCATGATGACTTATCAGGTGCCAGCACGGTGAGTCACGTCTTTCAGTCACTGGCAGAGAGGGATGCCCTTGACTGCATAGAGCAAAATAGTGCAAAAGTACTGAATGGTTAATTTTAAGATTACCAAATATTAATTAAATCAAATGATAATAATGAGAAGAATAAGAAAAAGATGAAAGCATGAATTAAATAAATGCAACTACAATTAATGTAGCAAATGACAGATTATTTAAAAGCATGTTAAAGTAGAAAAGACTCATTTTTCGCAGTGTTAAGAGAGTTTTGTTGTGCTTATTTAGGGACACGGACAAGGTGTTGCGTGATGATCGTGAGCGTTTGCGGCGGATGCAGAAGAGTCAGCCGCGTTTCACCTCAGACCAGAGGAGAGAGCTCATAGAGCAGCACCCCTGGATGAGGAGAGGGGGTCTACCCAAAGCCATTGACGTCAAGGTATGTGTGAATGTGTGTGATGTTATTAGAACACCTTTTCCTCTTTGCCCCAAATATAATCAAACTAATCAAGTTTGCTTCTTTAGTTCTGCAGTGGAGCTACAAGGCTAATGTGACTAACAAGTAATATATCTCACCGATTAGCAAGGTGCAGATGCCTGAATCATCACACCAGAGGGTCAGTGTCAAGCACAGTCTGTCTCCTGTGAGCTGCGGAAATCCTGTGCTTGACACCGGCCCGCTTGACCAGATTTAAAGAACCCTGCTATATATATTTTTATCAGCAACATTTGAGACGTTTAAGAAAACATATTTCTGTAAGTTAACAGTGGCTTATTATTCTGCAATGTCATACAATTATAAGAAGAATCATATTTAACGAGTAAAACAAAATGGTAGAAACAAATCTGAACAATATATAGATAAAGTTATGGTCTGTGTACATAAGCATGCCCAGGCGTCTCTGAGCTCAGCAAAATTGTTACTAAATGTTGTTTTACATCCAAATTTATTAAATTTGTTGTATTTTCCACACTCGTTTTACACTGTCATGTATGTGCACTCTGTGTAGTCCTGTGTAGTCTGCTGCTGTTGTGTGTTGCATAATGGGGCCTGAAGTACAATATTTCATTACAATGTATACATTATAAAGTTATATTGAGGAAAGACAATAATTATCTGTGCTTATTTGTGATATACTGGTATAAATGTTGTGACAGAATAAGGAATTTTAACCAGTACTCTGGATAAACTGATATGTTGCTCACTTCTAGATGCTATGTTGTCACATTCAAGGTGATGGCTAACATTTGTGTGTGTGTGTGTGTGTGTGTGTGTGTGTGTGTGTGTGTGTGTAGGAATGCTTGTACTGTGAGGACGACACCCACGCTCCATTAGAAGAAGACCTGCCTGACATGGAGCTCGGCATTCTGGGAACAGAGACAGCGCAGGAAGAGACACGGGAAGAGGCAGGGCAACCTGGCCTGGTCTCCTAGCAACTCTGTAACCCTAGTTGTTTATCAGCCAGCGTGGGGTGGCCCAAAACCTCCAGCTGAACGCTGCCCCACACTCTCTCTCACACACATGTGTATTGCATAGTTTACACTGCACAGTTTTTATATCCTGAGCAGATCAGATCACCCTACCTTCAGTTCTAGTGAAGTTGTGAGGGTGTACAGCACTGCGCAAAAGTCAGAGACCACCCTGTATTTATTCACTTTTCAGTCATTAAGTCCAAGCTAATCATTTCAGTGTGAGAAAAAATGCAAAAAAAGAAATTACATTTTTTAAATTAAATTTAAAAGAAATGTTACATACATAAATCTGCAGGAATACATTGTTTAAGTTCAGTCATAGGTTTTCTGCTTCTCGTGATACACATTCAATGATGTTGAGGTCTGGACGCTTAGGTGGACAGCCCATTGTTCTAACAACATCAGCAGCTTTTTTGTTTTATTTGCTATTTATTTATTTTTTCTTTGTCTGTCTCCTTTCCTCAGTGAGGCTTCTCGACAGCTACACATCCTTTCAGGCCCATAGCACTGAGTTGTCTTCTTTTTTCAGATCCGAAGCAAGAGTTTAGCTAGATTTTCATCTGTACAGGATGATTTTTTGAGCATTAATTATCTGATGGTGACAGTTTTGGTGGTCTTCCAGGTCTTGCATGGTTGTTAGGAGTCCCACTTTCTCTGTATCTTTTAATAATTTTGAACTCCAGTTTTGGAAAGGTCTTGTTTTTTCAAGTATTTTGCTTTGACTCTCTTTTCTTTATGCAAGCAGATTATCTTAGATGTAATCACCTCAGAAACATGTCCTGAAAAATGAACATTATGGGCGTTTTGAGTGGTAATAAATAAATGAAGGGTCTCTGACTTTTGCGGAGTACTGTATATGTGTGTGTGTGTGTGTGTGTATGTATGCTTGTAAAAGCGGTGTAGCTAAAATCCCCAGACTGTGACCAACCACTACGGCAAACGGTTAATAGATTAATTATTCATTTTTATTATTAGGTAATTCATAATTAATTAAATTAATTTAAAGGTTATCATCTTCGTCCCTGACTTGAAGTCCAAAAATGAGAAGATATAAATGCATTTTTTTCTTTCAGTTCTAAAAGGATTATTGCAATCAAAGACTGTATTAGATTTTTAAGAATGTGTGAAGGACACTTATGGACATTGTGCAGCCAAGTGCACCTACTTGAGATTATGATGGACATGGGATTGGACTCCAGTGCTTATGTCTGCTGTGCACCTGAGGCTATTGACCAAACTACCTGATGACCACACTGCAGTATCTGGACAGTTTATTGCAGTTAGAACATTGGCTCTGAAGGAAACTATGACCAGGTACTGGGCTCAAAACACTGGACGAAAGGACCAGAGGACAGAAGCAGTGACCAGAGCTGCTGGACAGTGGTGCATTTACACCACAAGAAAAACAGGTACAGTGTTCGTCTTTTCTGTGATCATGGACATTCAGAAACTTGAAACAAGGCACAGAATGTCAGAAGAAAATGGACCAAATCAACTCACTCTGTGTTTTTATCTCAGTATCTGACATGATTTTTCAGTGTTTCATTTGTTTTTATATTTTAAATAATGACGTTTCTGTCCAGCAGAGTGTGGTTGTTTAACAGAGACCATACGCTGTCATCGTTTCAACAGGGTTTTTTTATGACACTCGCTAAGTTCTTGCGTGTTGCAGTGTTGTGATTGGGAATTTGTTTAAATATTGAGGGTCAAGACTATTAAAAGTGGAAGACGGGAGAAAAACACAGTAACTGTTGTAGCTATTTTGACAGACTTTGCCAGTGTATTAAAGGCTGAAGTGCAATCAAAGGGTTGTAACAGTGCCCTCTAAAGGCCGGCTGCCAGATTTAGTTAGAAAATCTATTTTAATTTTAATATTGTTTTGTTTTGTTTTGTTTTTCTCAAATTGGCATGTGTTGTCGTATGCTGTGTTGTTAGAATTTGATTTTCTCTCCTTCTTTCTATTTTTTTTTTCTTCTTTTTTAATTGATAGAACCTGTCACTGTCTGGTTGATTTGTCATTATTCCTATGTTGTAATAAATTATGATGCTCTTTTAAGTCAGTTTGATTGTTAGTTTATTTTCGCAGTAGGTAAACTCTGCCCTGCTTTTGTTCTAACTAAACATCTACATATTTGCACAAAAAAATAGGAAAATAGAGAGAGATAAACATTTAAGATCCTTTCACCACCACATAAATCATTCAAGCATGGTCTAAAATATGGAAATATGGAAATGATGTCCATTACAGCAGGTATTTACACTTGTTGCAAGTCACTTTGCAAGGCATGAGCTTGATGTGCAGTGGCCTAATGGATAAGGCATCAGCCTCCGGAGCTGGGCATTGTGGGTTCGAGTCCCATCTGGGTCAGTGTTGAGATTTCTCAACTCATCTGGCATCATGATTGAAGTGGCTCAAAAATGAGCTTCTCAGATTAAGAGGTAAATAAGCCTGAGCACAAATATTGAAGACTGCTGCATGAAAGTTAATCTACTGATGACATATGAAAATGAATAGAGACCTTGTGCTGTGTAGTTCTGTTATATGAAGGGCATTATGTAACTGCTCATACCTGGACTGATGTTGCAATCAAACTTCTACTCAGCTGAAATGAGCCTTTGACATATATTGCCACTAGAGGGCAGTGCAACTTCAGCTTCTTGATTTCCAACACACTAGATGTCCAAAAATATCCAAACTCTCCAGGTATTCAGTTGCTTAGAACTGGCATTAATACCTGATCGGTTGAAATGAAAACACAAAATTTTAAATCATTTGGTTTTATCTACAGTATCCTACTGTATAACTACAAAATCCTCCAGAATTATTAGAACCCTTGGACATATTCAACATGAAGGACAGATCTCAGATCTCCTGTCATCTCCCAGTTCATCCAACATTATAAGAGAACTGCATTGCCCAAAGAGAAAGTGCACACATATATAAAATGAATATATAACATCAATTATGATAAGCATAGAAAATAAAAATTGTTGTGCAAATAAATACATGAACAAACAAATACATACATAATTCAGTATCCAAAAGAGTCGGTAGAGTAAAAGGCTTGTTATGCTACAAAGAGGTTTAAAAATGCTTTGCTGCAGATTCATTATCACACATAACAGTCAATAATCACTGAATACTGATGACATAATGACTGACTTTAGTTTGTTATGTGAAATCAGATTTGTAGGTATACTCAGTTTTTGATTATTTATTTGAATTTAAAAAAAAAGGGGTAAACAAGGATACAGTCAGGAATAGCAGGTATAATGCTACCCCTCAGCCCTCCCCCCTTTCCATACCCCTCCCACCCTGCCTTCAGATGCTTTGCTGATATTTCAATAGGAAATTTCAGAGTAAAATAACCTTGATGTAAAAGTCTTCGCATCTTCAGTCCCATTTAACCACATGGTCAGTGTTGATATTTTAGCTTGATTAACGCAAGATTTGTATATTTAAATTTATAATTGTTTCACCCAAAAGGTGGCAGCTGGTGAGCTCTTAACTTAAAATATTAAAATAATATTAGCCCTTTTTTATATTAATTATACTTGCTTCCATCAGCAAATGAAAAAGCTATGATGTACAAATAAACTGTCCAGTTTTTCTCTCTACATTCTCTATTTTTCCACAAAAGGATGTGTTTACCCTGAACAGAGTTCTTATGCTGTTGGTCCCAGGGGATTCTTTTCATCTGTCAGCCCCTCAGTTCGTTTTACAGGCCTGTTTTCTATAGGAATTACGCGTTGGCGACCTCAAGCGCCCTCCAACCGTGGCACACCATCTGCTCTGCTTTGAGTAAAGTGATAATGATATTGAGAAATCAATGCTGCATTCATTATCCATTGTAGTCCTGTAAAAAGGCTTTAAAGGAATATTACAGCATTTATGTAGCATAGAATTACCTGCAGCGACAGTTACCATAAACTTTTTGTACTTTGTAAAATAATAGAAAAACTTTTGACTCGAAAAAAAAGTATAGAAATAACTTAAACTGAAGTGGCAGCAGGGGATTCTGCTATACTGTAAGTTTGTGCTGAATGAACAGAATTTCTAACGAGACGTATTAACTGAACATCTTCTGCAGATACTGCAGATGGAGAATAGGCTGAAAATGTTGGAATATTCCTTTCAGGAATTCGGTTACTGAGTGAAAGCCACTTGTAGCGTAGACAGTTGCACACTATGAATTTTGGATGAGCTTTGGGAATAGCCCTCCAGCTTGTGGCAGATGGGCTGGTTTAACTTTAAGTTTGGCATGTGGGACCTTTATATACGGTTCCATAAGCCAAACAAATATCACACAGCTTTAGATTGATGAAAGAGGTCAAATGTCAGGCATCTGTTGTCGGATAGAAATGTCACTCATTCAGCCCTAAATGTGGTGCATATGTCCTGCGTTTCTACATGTTTATGTAGCTTAACACCTGTCATAGCTTGACCAACCCTTAGAAGTTGGCCATTGCAAAAGCATGTTGCAACTTTATATGAACCATATTATGTGGCCAAAAGTATGTGGCCACCCCTCCTATTTATTGAGCTCAAGTGTTTCAGCCACACCCATTGCTAACAGGTGTGAAAAACCACATACCTCTTCATGCAATTTCCATAGGCAGTGGAATGGAACTGAAGAGCTCATTGACTTTAAACATGGTGCTACCTAGATACAACCTTTGCCACAATTTGGTTCATAAAATTTCTGTCCTGCTAGATCTGCCCCTGTCAACTGTAAGTGCAAATGGAAGTGTTACACAGCAACACAGCTCAGCCACAGAGCGGTAGACCACACAAACTCACAGAGCGGGGGCTGCCAAGTGCTGTAGCGTGTAAAAATCACCTGTCCTCTGTTGCATCACTCTACAGAGTTCCGTACTGGTCCTGGAAACAATATCAGCACAAGAACTGCATGATGGGAGCTTCATGAAATGAGTGTCCATGTTCGAGCAGCTGCACACAAACCTAAAATCTCTTTGTGCAATGCCAAGCGTCGGCTGGAGTGATGTAAAAGATGCCACCACCAGACTCTGCAGCAGTGGAAACGTACATCATGCTTCAGTATCTGGCAGTCTAATGGATGAATCAGGGTTTGGTGGATGCTGGGAGAAGCTACTGGAAGCATAGTGCCCCCTGTAAAGTTTGGTGGAGGAGGAATAATGGGCTGGGGCTGTTTTCAGGGTTTGGGCCCCTTAATTCCAGTGAAGGGTGATGTTAATGCTACAGCACACAAAGACATTTTACACAGTTATACGGCTCCAGCTTTATGGCAACAGTTTGGGGGAGACCCGTTCCTGTTTCAGCGTGACTGTGCACAAAGTGAGTTTGTTAGTAGAAGAGAAGATATTTGATTACTTTATGAAATTGCTAGTAATTGCTCAAGCCTGTTGGTAAAGGGTTAACGGGATAATGGAAAATCCCCATTTGCTATATATTTATTCTAAGAATACTTTGTCAAAGCTTCTGCTCCAGAAACTCAATTCTGTCCTAAAAACAAAGCAAAGGAGGCTTTTCCTCTCCCAGCAGTGACTTTTTTTTAACTCTGTATTAAATGGAAAAATGCATGGCAATGTTTTGACTAACTTCTATTAGCTGCAGTTTATCAGTGTGCATTAGTAACTAGAAGAGGAAAGTGTGAACGAACTTCAATATGGCTTGACAAAGCCACAGCTATGAAATCACAGGTGGTTGCTAAGACTTATTATTCAGTGGGGAACCATTTAAAATGTTAATAATACATCAGTTACCTGTGTAAACCTTGCAGATCAGATCTGAAATAATTGCTTTCATCCTTTGTAAAAAATTGCCTCTTTGTCATTGTTTCATTTATTCCAGTTATGAACATTTAAACTGAACATTATTAGCCTAGTGGCTACTCTCACCATTCAAACTGCCTACTGTCAGAGATTCTGTTGCATTTCATAGCTTACCACGGCCAAGAATCACCTGCTTTTACAGAAAAGGGTCATTTGACTGTCAACAGCCATGGTTTTTTCATCCAATTTCTTCTCAGTTTTCAATAGTGGCTAATTCCTTCTGCTAGGTAGAAAGGCCTACTAAGCTGGGAGGCTGAAGACTATCTCATGCTTTCTCCGAGTCCTGTGAAGAGTCACCATGTCTTTTCAAACTGCTCCGAATGCGATGTCATTTAACAGCTCAACATGCTTTGAGGAGAACACTAACTGTACATTTTTTCACATGTTGGCTAGCATCACCCCGTGTGATGACTGGAAAGGAGGACCATCATACCCCCTTCAGATAGTGAGGCTAATTATGCCTTTTGGACTTCTGCTCATAGATGGCTGTAGAATCATCAAATTTGTGATAGACATGCATGACATGTAGGAGCTGGTGATTTTTAGAGTGGAGATCAAATGTGTCAGGATATTTTGCATAAGGGCTTCAAATAAAGCTCCTGAATACCTTTTAAAAATGTGGTGCTGTGTACTTTACAAATGTTTTTGTATCCAGTGATTATATCTGTATCTCCAAAAGGCTCATGTTGCAGAACATGTGCAGAGCAGGCAAATGCTTGGAAAAGAATGTTTACCAATGGACTAGCTGGCTTTTGTGCTTAATGACAGATACAAACCGTATCCAAAGAAAGCCAAGCTTGCCTTCATCGAACACAGACATGTCTATAACCTATAGCTCATTTATCAGGGTTGATATGAACAAAGTTAATTAAAAATGTAAAAGTTCATTTAACTCTTGTTTTGCATGTTTTACCAGACAATGAACACTGGGCACTGTAAAAACTTAACTTTAATACCATAAATAACGTTTAACAGTACAAGAACTAATAACAGGTTAAGTTATTCTATCATCGTCATTATAATTATCTATGAAATACAGCATAAGAAAGCAATATAAAATCAAATTTTCCCTCTACTAATAAATGATAATTGCCTGAAGTTGGGGAATAAAGAAAAATCTATGCTATTTTTTTCCACAATAATGGCAAATAAAAAGCTTTAACAAGGACTAAAATGACCCAAAACATGGCGGGACAAACTATACTAATATAATATAGTTATAGCATCTATCAAAAGAATCAAAGTAGCTATAAAATGAGTACTTATTAAGGCAAATGATCCGATGTATAAAAACAACTGGTTGTAGTTGAAAAAGTCCAATGCGTATAATGAGTGCATGAGTGCGTCAAGATGGGTCAGAGCCATATCCAAGTCAAAAGGGGAGCCAAAAAACCTTTAAAAATCCAACTCGCAGTTATATAATAAATCACTGTTGTAAGAAAACCATCTTCAAAAAATAGTATCTTCATAGAAGGACTTACATTCTTAACATGAAAACCTCTGTTGGTCCAAATCTTGTCAGTTCTGGTGGGCTTGTCCAGTTTATGCTTATCAAAGATGGAGAATAAAAAAAACTTCTTTTTGTTCCCAAAAATGGAGTTACAAGAATTTCTCATAGTAGCAGTGATAATTCTTGTCCAGCAGATTCATTTTTGAAGATTGTCACAGTGTTTAGAGGATGGTGTGCTATTCTGTCTTGCAACACCTTGACCCAAACCACAGCAAGATAAACTATAGGCATTATATATCCAAAAGTTTTGTAGACCCCTTCTCATCCAATGTTACTTCTAAAATCAAGGATATTCATAGGGAGTTTGTCACTGCAGCAGTAACAGTTTATACCCTCTAGCTAATACTTGGCATTGGGTGTGGTGACTTCAGGCTCATGTGCAGCTGCTCCAGAGCATCCCACTCTGTTAGTCAGTGCTTTCTACAGAGATTATACCAGCTATGTGTGAGCACCTGTGTCAGCCATAGGTGCACCTTAATGTAGCTGAATAAATAATTACTTGTGGGGAACCTTCATTACATGTCTGAATATTTTAGATAATTTGTATTTAGTAAAATCATCAAACGTGTATTTAAACTATGTAAGTATTGTAGTAATACTCATTTAATTTTTTAACTTTTGGTTGAAAATAAAAGGATTAAAATCTTGAAACGGCAAACAGAAAATTGTCCAATCAGAAATTTTTTTTTCCACATTTTATCTAGGTGGATCCATCCAAGCTAAGTGGTGAAATCAACCAATCACGCTTTGATTTCCAATGGGTTGCACCAATTTCATAAAGCTGTTGTTGGAATAAAACCTCGTATCTCCATTTTTGTCCATGTTTTTCAGTTTTTATCATAATTTGAAAATACCTGTTGTCCTTTACATTGTGTGTAAATTTCATGATGAATGGAACAAAAGAAACGACCCAAAATGACTTGGAAAAAGGTTTGGCTCCTTTGACTTACATTAAAAGTAAAGTATGATTTTTTTTTCCTTCTCCGGTAAAGTTATCATTTTGAGATACAAGGTTTTCTTCCAATCAAAGCGATAAGGAAAAATGCCACTCTAGAGCTTTCTGGAAGTTCTAGATACATTACTGAATGTGAATACGAGTGGTAGAGTGACCAATGTGTTTCAGTCACTTGTTAGAAATAGAAAACAGGGCTCTTTACTTAAAGAGTCACAGTAAAACTGCTAAGAGGTAAAATATGTTAATATGTATGTTACACAGTTCAAATAAAGCACAAAATGTATTTTACAAGATTCAAATATCTGTGTTTAGTCTAGGCCAAAAATGTTCATGTGACGTGCTGTTAGCTTAGCGCTAAAAGACTACTAGAATCCTATAGGAGCGCTAGCAGAACTTAGCATTATTGTAAAGGTGTTTCTTTCCTTGTTTTTGACAGAGCCTGGCTTTAGTAGTTTGAAGGGGTGTCTACAAATATTTGGATATGTATAGTATGTCTAAGGGGCTGTATGATGAAACAAGGTGATTTGATGTATAAAAAGGCTGAGTGTATTTGAGAGAGGCCCATAAAGCATGAATGTGTCCAGCAGCTGCTGTTTTCCGTTGAAAAACAAGGTTACAAGGTTTTCTTATGACTCCCATGGGGTTTGTCCATTTTAGTGTTTCTGCAATAATCAGAGGTTTGTGTTTTTCACTCCTGCCCCCTCTTGGCCTACCATGGTCTCCACATAGATGTGTTGTAGGTAATAGTGGCCTGTTCCTCTTCAGCTGGAATTGAACTCGATTCTCCATCAGTTTCCTCAGAGTCTGAGCACAGATCTTCACTGGAGGAGGATGACGATGAAGAGGAAGTTGGGGAGAGAGCTGCAGATGCCCCATTTGTTGCTCTGATTGGGCTCAGTATGGCAGAGGTCATTGATTGGTCAGCCATCAGGTCCAGCAGTGCCTCTGGAAGACTCTCCTCGTGTAACGGCATACACTCCAGCAGGTGGTTCAATAGCTCTGCAGCAACCGTGGCGTCGATTCCAGGACAGGTGGACACAAACGTGTGGACCTCATGCATGCACTGGATGTAGCCGGCGGCAAATCGCTCACTGGCCTCGTGACTCATGGTATCAGCTTCTACAGTCCAAATACACATACGCACATATTAGCAGAAGAATGAATCTTAAGACTTATTATTCTGTATCTGCTATGAATTATTCAACTACTACAATTAATTGTTTAATAAATAATTTTGTGTACATACTGTTACACTACTTTCAACAACAAATGACAGAAGTATCGGCAAAATTTGGGCTGTTTTTAGCATTTTTAGCTATGCTACATAGCCTACTTTTATAAACATTTATAGATTACAGTGTAACACGGCATCAGAAATCACATTTGCGAGTCTGTTTGAGATTACATAAGATCTTTACTCAGGTAGAGACGAGTGCATGATGATTTGGGTATGCGGTTTGCACAAGGCTAACGGCTAGCTATAAGCTTGTATTACTTAGCTACATTAGTCTTGTAGCTCCCAATACAGAATCTGATATATGGAAATATATGGATTCCAAATATATGACATATATAAGCATAAATAGATTCTCCCAATATCCAACATATTTGTCGCAAATGGCCATATTCAAATATGGGACATGTATTTCAGCCATATATCAACATATATAATATTGTTTATGATACATGTGCATATATGGCCATATATGAGATTTCCATACAAGTCCAGTGCAAAACTAAAGAATCAAACGTCAGCAGCAAACATGTATGATGGGTAAGTAATGAATCACATTTACTCTTGTTACTGTAATTGAGTACAGTTTTCCCTGTAACGGTACTTTTTGGAGTAGAATTAAATCATAGCACTTTTACTTTTACTTGAGTTAATTTTTAATGAAATATTTTTACTTCGCTACTTTACTTTTCATAACGTTACAGAGTAAAAATAGATTAAGCGTGTATCAGCTCAGAAACCAATTAGAATGAGGTGTGGTTAAAATTAAAAGATTCACCAATCAAAAAACAGCAGCTTCGACAGGAAAAACACTACAGAGATGTCCAGTCTAGTGAAGAAGGACAGAGGAGAACTGAACTAGCACACTTGAGGAACAGACTATCCAAACGGTCATCTGTATTCATTTTCACACAAACTAAAGAAAACGGCGCTGTTATCAGCAGCCGAACACGAAACGTGCTGAGATATACTTTCGCAGCTCAACTCCAGCCTGAGGCAGCGTTAGCTGAGCTAACTAAAGCTGGGTGATTTGCTGATGTTGCTGCTGATTGTAATGGTGTAAATGTTCTGAACAGATTTCAGTGTAAATATACAGTGTGAAGGCTGTGAATGTGTTTACTGTCTGTAGAGGTTCACACCTATTAACGTAAGCTAGAGTCCAGGGAGCTGATGGGCAGCAGGACTCACTAAAATTACATTATTAATTTAGCAATCTGCTCATAATTTCGACTCAAACAGTAACAGCCTCTACACGTCTTTCAGGGAATACTTTAGTGGAAACAGATAAACTAGGATGTCTTATAAAATCATCTAACCATGAAATGCATGCAGTTTAATGTAAACCTCATTCCTTACACAGCTCACAGAAAGATGTGTAAATATTCAGTAGCAGGGCGAACTGTGATCAGTCTCAGCTCTCAGAACTTCAGCTTTAGTGTTTTTCTGTACGGATTATATCCAATGATGTAGCCGAGTCAGCTCAGAAATATATTCAGGTTGTGACGGCATAAATACGAAAAAGTAACTAAGTAACTCAGTACTTAAGTAGTTTTTTTATGAACTACTCATTTACTCTTACTTGAGTAATTTTATTTACTAATGCTTTTACTTGTACTTGAGGTAACTATCATTACAGTAACAGTTTTCAGGATTTTCAGTACTCTTTACACCCCTGGATTTTTGATAACCGATTAATTACAATGAAAGAAGGTCAGAAGGAAAATTGTTGTACTATAATTGTTGTAAAAGAGTCATAAATGAGCAGTGTGTGGCTGAGGCAGGTCTGTGGGAGAAGGTGTGCATGTTTTACCGTGAGATTGATGCTGCAGGATGTTCTCCACCCGCTTCACTGTCAGCTCGAGCACTTCTGCGTTCTCCATTTTTGCCTGCAACTGCACAAAAGCTAAGAATTTAGACCTGTTTCTTTCAGAACTAGGCAACATTTATTGTGGAATAAAAAGAAAGTCAGGTCAACTTAAAATTTTAATTCCACTTTCTATATAGCTTTATTTTTTGTTTCTAAACTTTTTACTTAGAAAAATAATCTCTCAGAGCACCGCATATCAGTTAGATCAACAAAAGTTAAGGTGTGATTACTCAAAAAAACAAAACTGTGGTGAATGTGGTTTATGTTGAGCTTGCTTAAATATCTTGTGGATTTTACTCAGTTCCCCCCACTGACTCCCCCTAACACACAGTGTCCCAGGCCTGAGGGGAGGGGGTTGGTGGGGGGTTGTGCTACTCTCAGACTTCAGACCATGGAGGACTGTGGCACTGGCAGGATTTGAGCTTATGATCTCTTGATAATTAGGCAGAAGAACAGTTATCTGTGCTGAAATAAATTAATGATGATATAATACTACATGTGGATTAATAATTGCTACCATTTAAATTATTAATCATTTGCTTAGTGATAACAAATAACTACTTATCTGTGCTTAGTTTTAAATGTTTTACACAATATTTTATAAATCAACCACTGTTGAAATTCTAACAAAATGTAGACAATAAAACATAATAATAATAATAATAATAATAATAATAATAATAATAATAATAGGAAAGAAAAGAAAGAAAAGAAGCAAGAGACAACGACAAAAAATAAAAATATTAATTACAATGTATTGTTGAGTATGAAATAATATAGAAATAAAGAAATAATATATAATATGTAATATAATGATTATAACTATTATTATTACTATTATTAAATAATAATTGATTGCTTTGATTTCAATGATTGAAATGTGTAGAATTTAAGAAAGAACACATAATTAACAACTACACTGATCAAACGGATCATTTAGTTGCTATTTTTAAAGGCCTGTTATTATAAAGTGTTGCCTGGGTTTCATTTGAAATGTTTAATATCAATGATAATAGTTATGTTGTTTTTGTTTGTTTGTTTTGTTTTTTTTTGTTTGTTTGTTTGTATGTTTTTTTAATGTTGTATTCACTGAAGGACTAACCGTGGATTTTGATGGTTATCTTGGCTCAGATATATATCTATTATTCTAAAGCAGGAACACTGATGTTAGATCAGGTCTCATCACTTCACACAGTGATGTAAAAGGCACAGACTGGCCCAGATCAACATTTTTACTCAGAGAAGTTTAACAAATATGAGCTTTGATGTTAAATCTGCTCCTCCTACCTCTGTCTCGGTGATGAGGTTGCGGAGCTCCTGCAGGCTTTCATTAATTCTCGCCCTCCTCTTCTTCTCCACCAGCGGCTTACGGGTCTGTAGAGGCACCAGGAGTTCAGGTAAGGGTGGTCAGTTTAGATGAATAGCCCATTAAAACCAAGATTATATCTCTAGTAGAAGTAACAGAATCCTATATTTCCCCACAGAGCTGCAGAAAACGTCTTAGTACATCTAGCCTCAATCCAAAATCCTTATAAAATGTCCTTTGTATCCTCACCAGTTTTGTAAGTTTAATGTAATGTTCATGAGGGCCGAGATTTCATGATGTCCACTTAAACACTCTGTTTATTATTTATTACAAACACTCTCTTTTATTATTTATTATAAACACTCTCTTTTATTATTTATTATAAACACTCTCTTTTATTATGTAGAGGTTCTGTAGACTTTAACACACATCTCACACATCTCATTTACATAAAATGGTTCTAGAAAGAACTGCAAAGATTCTTCAGGAAACCAAAGGTTGTTCCTCTGTGGACTTGCTTTGCTTTATTTTTAATAGTTCTCTCTACCTGAACCAGCTCCTACCTTCCTGTCTCCTCGCGCGCTCGTCTCCTCCTCCAGACTGAATCCGCTCCTAAAGGGGGCCATGATGTCACAGGGTAGGGGGTGTGGGGGGCTCGAGCAGCCGTAGTGTAGTCCGTGTGTGGGAGTTTGTGTATGTGTGTTTGAGGCTTCAGTGTGGCTATATACTGCCCCATTTGCATGTGAATGCGATGCCCTGCGTGCACCGGGCTTCAGCTTCAGCCAATCAGCTCACACTCTTTTGTCCTGAGACAGTGAGGGTTGAGGGTGGGGGAGAGAGACAGGTGTTCAACACAGAGCAAGATAGAAAGAGATAAACGCAGACTTCCACTGGAAACAGAGTCAGACCATATATACACACACAGACACACACATATACACACACTTGAGTGCTACAATAAAATTGTTTTATATATTATGTAAATATATATATACATAAATATGTGTATACAAACATATATATATATATATATATATATATATATATATATATATATATATATATATATGTCTGTAGGTTTGTATGTGTGTAAAATGTTCCTCATTTACACACACATATTCAACTTTTATACAATTAATAAAATGATAAATTCATTACATATATTCATTAGAGACAGCTATGTACTATATACCCTATGCCATTTTTCCATCCAAAAACAGTATTTCGGTATAAAAAAGACATTTCAATTCATATTTAGTTAGAAACAAGGAGGACGTTTAGTCTTTTCTTGTTAACTGTTAATTATCTTGTAATACCTTGTTTTCTGTTTGGTTTCTATTTCTGTTTCCCCTTTTTTCTCTTATTTATGTTTACACATATTACTTTTGCAGTACCGTAGCTTGTAACAGTCATTGTGATAAAGCACTGAGAGAGAGAGTGAGTGAGAGAGTGTGAGAGACAGGGTGGGGGAGAGAGAGTGGGGGAGAGAGAGTGTCTTGTCTGGACCCTTCCACACAGATACACACGCGACTGGCGTGAGACTCCCGCCCTTCTGCTCTACTTTATAGAAAAGCGAGTGAGAGTGGGGGGTTTATGAGGGAGCAGCTGGCAGATTCAGCCTGCTTGCCTGTTTGTCCGTGAGTGTGCATGTTCTGTATCATAATTATTGTTATCACCATTATCACTACCATCACCATTACATTACAGTTATAAATATATAATGTATAATTGTTATAGATCAGTGTTCACCAATTTTACCCACGATGGGCCGGTGTGGCTGCAGGTTTTCGTTATAACCAAGAAAGAGCACACCACCTAAAACTCAGTTTTTTGGAGACCAACGGATTAAGCAAGTGGAATCGGGTGTGTTTCTGCTTGATTGAATTGAAACAGCCACTCTACACCTTCCTAGATAAGGTTGGTGACCCCTACTACAGATAGACAGATCGACAGAAAGATCAAAGATAGAATACCATCACTAAGATTGTCAATATCGTAATTATCGTCATTACACTGTAAAAATCAGTTCAACCAAAAAAAAATGACTTCGTATAGTAGTGTAAGTAGTAAAGTATTTTAGGTTGATTAAAACTTGGTAATTTACTTGTTACCACATGAAATATTTTTTAGGTTGAATTGATGAGCCATTTTTCCAGTGTACCATCATCACCATCATCACTGTTGTCATCATAATACAATCAGCATCATCACTATTATCAACATCAGCAGCATCTTATGCCCAGTTGAATATGCTGAATATCATTTCTGTGATTACACTTCAGCCATTATCATGGTTATGCAACACTAATCTCTATGGTAACACCACGTTCATTACCATGGTTACACTATAATCATTTCCATGGTTGCATCACACCCACATTCATGGTTACACCTCACCCATTTTTATGCTTATGCTACACCTATTTCTATGATTACAGTACACTGCATTTATTCCCATGGTAACAGCACATTTATTCCCATGGTAACAGCACATTTATTTCTATGGTAACAGCACATTCATTTCCATAGTGACAGCGCATTCATTTCCATGGTCGCACTACACCCATTTTCATGTTTTCACTACACTCATTTCCAAGGTAACATCACGTTCATTTCCATGGTTACACTACACCCATTTCTATAGTTACACGAAACCAATTTTCAGGGCAAGACCACGTTAATTTTCCCATTTTCATGATAAGACAACATTCATTACCATGGTTACATAACACTCATTTCCATGTTTATTCTACTCTCATTTTTATGGTTACACTACAGATATGTCCGTGCTCACACTACTCTATTTTCAATGTTACACTATATCAATTTCTTTGGTTACACTTCACCCATTTCTATTGCAACAACGCATTACTTTCCATCGATATTTCCACGGTTACACTACATTCACTTCCGTACTTACATTACACTCGTTTCCGTGGTTATGTAACATCTATTTCTATGGCTACGCTACACCCATTTCCATGGTTGCACTGCACCCATGTCATGCCCCATTACCAGCTGAATGCTAATATTGTGAAGATGAAGGGGCAAGACAAATTGGACCTTATAATAAGGCTTTCATGATCGAACCACATGAAAATGACTATGTCCATAGAGTGTCAGTGTTATAAAATGTGCTGTTTATTCTAGGCCTCCTCAGTTATTAGTGACACTGATCTTATTACCAGTACAAAATAGAAACCAGCCCATTGTATGTCTGCAGCCCTTACTTTGTGGTGTATTTGAATGTGGTCAGCATTCAAATATGCACAGAAAATAAGCCTTTTTTATTTTCTGTGCATATTTACTGTGTTTTTTACCAATTATAGTGTGAACACAAAGTGGATTACGTACAATAGTTAAATACACAAATAAATACAAAACATTTCTTTATTAATAATAGGTTAATAGACTTACATGCAGCATAGAGGTCACAAATTCTACAGTATTAGTCAGCCAGCAAATAAACCGCTAGCCATTAACTTTATTATTATTTAATTAAATAAATTACAGTGTTAATCAAATAAATAACACAGGAGGATTAATAAAAGCCTCTACAATGCAGGCTACTGTAACTTGACTTCAGACAGGAAGCAATGAGGTTTGAAAAAAAGAGAGCTATTCTGGACCAAAGTCACCTCCAACACGCTCACCAACAAGCATATCTATAAGATACATAGCAGAGGAGGGTCTACAGACAGCATACACACACACACACACACACACACACACACACACACACACACATCTACACATGCAATACACACATGCGCAAAGGGTGGTGAAAAAGCTGCCACCTTTTATGAGTAGTGACATGCATGTATACAAGGTATGTGTTATAGCCTAATAATGTAGCCAAATGCATACAGTGCATAACACACAAACACAGTGTCATACAGGAACTCACCGGCTTATGTAATTATATGCATGTATACAGTGTATGCATGTTATTGCATGAAAGCAACAGCGTTTAATACATACATACACAAATATACCCTGCAAAAAATCCTATTTTGGCCATTGAAAGCAATGTAGGCAATACATCTATTCCTGACTACAAGGTTGTTATGAGATTATTCAACCTATTTGTAGACATTTTTACTTATTTTAAAGTCAACCTGAAATCAAAATTTACCTTTTATACTTTGTTAGCTGAAGTCCCTGGTAGGACTGTTACGACTAGTTGATAAAAAAGGTTAACTCAATTAAAAAATAATCGATATATATTCTCTACTAATCTTCGACTGAACTTTGCAATCTGAACGACAAATATGGTATCTGAAGGTTTTTACAAAATCATGTTCAGAAGTTTGAAGGGGGGGGCATTCAAGTGTGCACCACTGAAAGAGAGGACACCCACACCAGCAGGATCTCACAAATATGTGTATATTGGTTGTTACAAAGCATAATATATAAAGTCAATTTTAATGTTTGCTATTATAAAATGCATGGAAATTGGGTCAATTAATCATCAAAATAATTGGTAGATGATTCCATTACTACTAAATAATCATATACTTGATATTCCAATGTAATTTATAATGTGTTTGACAGTTGTAGACCAGTAAATATCACTTCATATAGGTAAAAAAAGATACGTTGCATACATTTAAGATGCTTTCACTTGCCAAGATATCATTTTTTGCAGTGCACATACAGTTTCCACACTGAATTTGTCACCAGGGCCTCCACATCTCCAGAGTTGTCAGCTGTGGGCTCTCAGTAGGTTGAGGCCTACTTAGAGGGGGCCCATTGCTATCCATTACAGGAGAAGCAGGGCAAGACCTCTGACCATTTTCCCCACTGCCAATGTATTGGACTTGGCTATCATGGTCAGCGAAGCTGGGTTTGGGTCTCCTGGAGCATTCAGCTGTTGACCTGGGCAGCGACTTGAGCAGGTGGTTGAGCAGCCGCGAGCCAAGTGTTTTGTCCATCCAGTTGCAGGACAGCAGCAGGTTGTGAACTTCATGCATGCACTGGATGTAGCCGGTGCTGTACCTCTGCTGGGCCTCTGAGTCCAATATAGGCTCTGTATGAAGACACATTCAGCACAGAACAGACCTATAAACAATGTTTTACTTCTACAATGTAGTTTTTAAAACTTTCCTAACTGTATAATGTGTGATAGGTGTTGTAAAGTAGACATTCTGGACAAAGCATGCCTAAGATTAAGGCTTCTAAAAATCACTGTTCAAATCACTGTTTTTTCTATATGCTAAAAAATCTACTGAATTTACTCGATTCAAATGTGTATGTAATTTCAACATAAGTAAAATGACATCAATGTACTTACCATGTAAGTTCATAATTTTTACATTAATCACTTACATTAATCACCTTTTAAAGCTCTTCTAACTTTGTATAATATATATATATATATATATATATATATATATATATATATATATATATTAGAATGTATACATTAACCACTACTCTTATGCTCTCGCAACTATATAAGTTACACATTAGTTTCAAACTAGTTACCAGAATATGTAAAGTAGTTACTGAATAAAAAGTCGGAAGATTAATAACAGAAAAAGAAACATGGGTTTCAAATTGTTAGTACCTTTTCTTACATTTCAGCTTTTCTCAAATCCAACTGAACAGGCTTTTGTGCTTTTTGGTGCCATCTGCTGGAGGCTGTTTTAAACTGCAATGCCAATTTTAGTTTCTACTGTTGCTCAAAGAAATGTTTCCCTGAAAAATGAAACTTACAAAACTTTCCACTTTTGCAAAATGTAGTCAAATCAGTGAAGACACATCTGTTGTGTGAAGTTTACTTCTTTAGTTTGACAATGCAGCTACTTGGCTGATGTAGCTAAAACCTAATGGAAATACAGCTTATTTCACTGACAAAGTTTTTAGGTTGGCCTGGTAGCTGCACTGCAAACGTAACGAAGCAAACTTTAGCAAACGCGTCTGGCCAGTTGACTATGTTTTGAGTGAGGGGAAAACAGTGGACATTCCACTTTTCAGGATAACATTCCTTTACCTGCTTTCACTGGAATTTACACTGCTCAGCCATAACATTAAAACCACCTCATTGTCCATTTTCTCAGCTCCACTGACCATACAGGAGCTCTCTGTAGTTCTACAGTTACAGACTGTAGTCTGTCTGTTTCTCTGCATACCCTGTTCTTTAATGGTCAGGAACCCCACAGGACCCCCACAGACCAGGTATTATTTGGGTGGTGGGTCATTCTCAACACTGCAGTAACACTGACGTGGTGGTATGTTAGTGTGTGTTATGCTGGTATGAGTGGATCAGATACAGCAGTGCTGCTGGAGTTTTTAAACACTGTGTCCACTCACTGTCCACTCTATTAGACACTCCTCTTTTGTTGGTTCACCTTATAGATGTAAAGTGGTCATCTTCTAGTCTCTCATCAGTAGCCACAGGACGCTGTTGCATGATTATTTTTGGTTGGTGGACTATTCTTAGTCCAGCAGTGACACTGAGGTGTTTAAAACTCCAGCAGCACTGCTGTGTCTGATCCACTCAGACCAGCACAACACACACTAACACACCACCACCATGTCAGTGTCACTGCAGTGTTGAGAATCAGTGTTGAGGTCATATGAGTAAAAAGCTAGGACAAGTGTTTTTAACACTCACCATTAACTTTACTGCTCTGGATGTTCTGTAGGTGTTTAACAGTCATCTCCAGGATGTCAGCTTTCTCCAGCTTGGACTGCTGCTTATAGAAGCAAAAGTTAAGTCATTTTTAAGTGAAGGAATCTCAGTAATGTGAGGACAATGAACATTTAAAGCTGTTAAATTGAACTTACATCGAGTCTAAACGCCCCAACTACCGTCTCCCTGAGCTGATCCAAGCAGTGGTTTATTCTTTCTCGTCGTTTTCTCTCTATTAGCGGTTTCCTCAGCTGAAAACAGGAAAAAGTCAGAGACTCTTTTCATCCCACAAACAAACCGGGGAAACTGGAGTTGGAGGTCCACTCTATCAGGAAGCCAAAGTTGGCTTTGTGTTTGCCAGCTTCTTTTTTAATTTGTCCGTTCCACCTTAAAGGGTGCTGGAGTTATGTTCGACTGTCCTACTCTATCACATATTTTAGTGCTCTACATAAAACTGCAGGTAGGAAAATTCAGTAACACTTTGTATGAATGTCACCTTTGTAAGCATCTATAAACACATCCATAACATGTTATAATGCATTCATAAGACATTAGAAACATAGCTATAAATATTTATAAAAATGCATTATACGTTATAGCCATGTTTATTATGCATTATGAATTGTTAACATAATACATTATAAGTACTGATCATAACAAATTATAAGAGCTCATAAGTCGTATTTGTCCGCTCTAAGTAAAGTGAAGCGTACTGTACTAAAGCCTCCTCCAGTGTTCAGAGTGAGGCTTCAAGTTGAAGTATTTACTGAAGGATTTACTGAAACACTAAAACATTCACAGTAAAGCACATTACAGGCTTCAAATGTCAGAGTTTAAACTAGTGCTGCATCAGTGTTTTACCCAATGTGGGAAAGGTAATGTTCACCACCGTTAGCTTGGTATTTGTCTTTACTTTACGCTCTCCAAGCTGGGACTGACTTCTTTGGCACTGAAATTATAACATGTTATTAACACTATTTATAATGCATTATATTAACAATTCATAATGTATAATAAACATGGCTATAAAGTGTAATTCAGTGTAATTCTTTTTTATAGATATTTAAAACCACGTTTATAATCCCTTATGAATACATTATAACATGTTATAAATGTGTTTATAGATGCTTACAAATGCAACATTCATAGAAAGTGTTACCGAAAATTCTAGCAGCACTATAATCTATATAATTTGATAGCCTAAATCTCCTAATCAGAAAACACTACCAGCATTAAAAGAATAGTTAGAATATTTTGATTGTCTAAATCACCTCATCAGGGAGTAAGTAGGTTATAATATTAAGCTGTCTGTACTGAATTATAGAGAAATCCAGAGAGGCAATGAGGTAGTCGTAATCTTCTGGACTGTTATCTTGAGATAATGAGTTAATTATCTTGTGATCTATCTATCTATCTCTCATTAAAAACACAATAAAACGTTTGAAACGTTAGGTTACTAAGCTACAGTTATGATATGCGCATGCTCAGTATTGCCACTCGATGGCTAGGACAAATTGTTAGAAGCCCCTTCGCACCATTAAGGTAACTGGTGTCTAATTTAAGGTGGAACGGAAATGTCGACTAAAACCTAATAGGAAGTTGACTTCAGCCTCGCCGTCCTACCTTCCTCTCCTCCTTTGCGCTCGCGCTGGGTCTCCCCGCGGTCATTTCCAGCAGGTTACTTATTTGTTCTGTTAGTTTTCGAGGTAAACACGTTGTAATGTCCGGTCAACAGTAGAGCTGCTAGAGCTGAGTCGTTTCTGCAGCGCGTGAGACTCTCTGTCTCTTACTTATAGAATTCGCGCGGATTTGCATTTGAATGTGCGGCGCGAGGGGCTACAGAGTTTTTTTTCCTCCTCACGCGCACACACGCAATCACTCACAACTGACAGGTCACCGCCTCTATTGAGCCACGCGCGCGCTCGCAGACTTTCTCTCTTTCACACACACACACACACACGGAGGCTCAAAAACAGGCGACAGATGTCCAGCCTGGAACAATTTCTTCTCCCTCAGAAGAGGGAGTCACGTGACCCCCTCGCGCGCGTTCTCTTCCCTCCAGAAACGGCGCCAGGAGCGAACAAAAAGGGAGCAACTTCCACGAGGCCACGAGGGACCTGCAAACGCTCTTAAAACTAAAGGTGCCAGAAAGAAGGTTCTAAAGAGACTTCATAGCTACCTTTGGTTCCCTAGAGAACCTTTCACTGGTGTTCCTTTTAAAGAAGCATTTTTGTAAATGAGATGAGAGAGGGCGAGTTGTAAACCTTGCTCTTTGTTAGACATATTATGCACTGTTTGGTTTCAGGAGCCGTTATTTCAAGACCTACATAGTGCACTACGCAGGGAGCAGGAAGCCATTTGAGATTTATCCACAATCAGCAACCTAAATGCATGGGCCCGAGCACATATGGGAGTTGGTCCGAGCTCCTTTTGCCGACTCTCCAGATGCCGAGTGTAACATGCACTCGGCCCAGACCTGTAAATACTCACTGGGGCCATATCAGCACATGTGGAATCGGCCCGAGCTCCTTTTGCCAGCTGCTGAGTGTAACCTGCAACTGGCCCAAGCCTATGAATGCGCACCTGGGCCGTGTCGGTACATATGGGAATCGGCCCGAGCCCCATTTGCAAGCTCCTCGGCTGTCAAGTGTCACCCACACTTGGCCCGATTTAAGCTGGCCGATGACGAGTCTCAGCCGACGCTGCCACATATCAGCCGAGCTCGGGCCGAGTCTTTTTGCTATCTGGGTAAGAAGGTAATGGTTCTATAGCAAGTTCTTTCCTAGTACGTATATCCAAAGGGGAGAATCTTAGCCTCAGACCTGGTAGTTCATTTTCGTCCTCTGTCTGTGGGGGGCATGAGTTCCCAAGGATATTTCAAAAACCATAAAAACAGTGATGAAACGCCATGTAGAGACGTCCTGGCCTTTCCAGTGATATGCCATGTTGTTGAGGTGCGTCATTCACACAGTTCTGCCTTTTCAAAAATCCATCTCAGTAACCACATTTATGGGAGCAAGAGAGGTAAAAAGTTTTTAAAAAGAGGAATTGTTTTCAGCCAATAGACTTATTTTATCTTAAAATTACTCAGGAGGATATAGGAACCTTTACTTTTTAAAAAGTGGACTTGATCTGGGTGAAACTAAAGTGTCAGCCCTCCTAAAGAGGAATTCCACCCATTTTCAGCAAATCATTAAGATGTCAACAAAGTCATTCAGAGCGGTTTGACAGGAAACAAAGTCAAAGAGTCAGAACTGTTCTCATTGGTAGTGATAGGAACCAGATGTGCCCCTGGGTATTAGAGCTATAGTGCCCTATCCCAAAGAACCACTGAGAATAACCTAGAACCTTTTGTTGAAAAGGTTTTGTTTTTTGAAGACTGTTACTATTGATTTTTCACTTGAGCCCCTCAGCTAAGACTTGTCCAGATCGGTCAGGTATACCAGTGAGGCATCAGCTTGCTCAAGAAGATCACTATAATATGGTAAAATGATTCTGTTTAGGTTTTACCCTCATAGATGCCACTGTCCAGCAAATGTACACAATGATGATACTTTTCAGCTGTTTATGGCTGGATTATCAGGCTGACTATTATGGTCTATGAATAGATTTATAAAAGTAATGGTTCAAAACATGGTAACAAATGAAAATAATTTGGGTGAGTAGAATGGTCCTGCCTCTGCCCCCATCACTCAGCATGATGCCAGAGTTGTCAGTTAGTGTTCTCCTCCAAGCATATTCAGCTGCACAATGACATCACATTAGAGGTAGTTTGAAAGGATGCCTGGTGCTTCATTTGCCATGGATAAACACATGCTAGCTTTCACCCTCCCAGCTTGGTAGCATGGTGTGATAGGGGAAGGACTAAGTAGCAGGCAGGAGTTGGCCATGACTAAAATAAGGCCAAAATTGATTAAAATAATAATAATAATAATAACCTCTCAACATCTATACAAAATTATCTGTAGAGACACACTCATTGCAAACAGTCTGGCCACTTTTGGACATTCTAGGTCAGTTTTTTAGACGTGGATTAAACCTACACACCTAAAAATTATGGTTCTTCAAGGGGTCTTTAGCAAAGAAAATGGTTTTATTTAGAACCATGATCACTCAAAGAACCCTTTGCATGAATAAAGGGTTCTTTGCATCATATCGCTTGCATTCAGATTGATTGAGCAAGGTGTTGTATGTGGTTTTGTATAGAACCTTTTTGAAAAGGGTTCTATGTAGCACCAAAAAGATTTTTTCCATCTATATACAGGCGTTTTTCAATGTTATTGTATGTAGACAATAAGCTTTTTTAAGAAGGTTTCTTCTGATTTTAAGGGTTTTAATAAGGGGTTGGAACATTGCTGTAAGGATTTTATTGCATTCAACCACAGAAACATTAGTGAGATCAGTTCTGGATCACAGACACCACTCCAGCTCATCCTTAAGGTATTGGATGGCATAATTTTGTCATTGAGATGTAAACAGTTTAGAACTATTCAGAGTGGTTTGGTGTGAAATGCTTGAGTCAGAATTGTTCACAGTGGTGGTGATAGGAATCAATGTCCACCTCTAAAAGCTCCCTCACAGAAAGTTAGTAGATTAAATGAATACACTGCCTGATGTTTGAGGTATTGCTTTAGACTAAATTTGTCTTTGACATATGTTTATTTAGTACACGGTTAGGGGCTATGCAGGTACATTTTTCGTTCATGAGGGTACCACCCCAGTGACAAGAGGGGTACTGCCCCAGTGACGGTTTAGTACCTTTTTTACATTCTTGGTGAAGATATACATCCCTGTGAGGCAAAATAGTACCTGAACAAATTTTACCACTATTTTAACATTATCAACATTGCATATACAATTTCAGAAGACATGTAGATTCATTTATTGTTTGAAAAGTAAATAAAATATCTGCATTGTAGACATCACAACCCCTGGTTCCTTTCATGACCACTGTGATAAAAATTATAATTGGTCATTTTCACTACAGTGAACCATTTCACAAACTGTGCAGCAACAGACTTTACATCTACGACGTGGGCCAACAAGGTAGGTGTCTCTAATGGAGTGGACAATGAGTGGACACAAATAAGGCAAGATTAGTTTATTCATGTAACACCTCCATACACAAAGACAATTCAGTGTGCTTTACATGAGCACGTAGATCAAAAAAGAAAATTAAGACAAAGTGCTTAAGAATGAAAAACAAAAAAAAAAAGTAAAAATAATGTGACAGTAGCTTAAAGAGATAATAAAATATAATTAAAAGGAAGTACAAAAACATAGAAGCAATTGAAATTAAAAAAGGGGTTCAGTATTAGTATGAGCATGATAAAGGTGAGGTGCAGAAATAATAAAGTGCGAGTTTTAGAGCTTAATCATACACACATGGCACTGCGTCTAGCAGCAGTATTCTGAATAGGTTGTGGGTTTTTTTTTTTTGCTTTTTTTGGGAAGTCCAGTTAGGAGACCATTACAGTAGTCCACCCTGCTAGAGATAAAAGCATGGACAAGTTTGTCATGGCCTTGGTGGGACACCAAGCCTTTGATTCCTGCTAGATTTTTAAGACGGTCGAAGGCTGTTTTGGTGATTGATGTGATATGACCAGTGAAGGTGAGATGTGAGTCTACTAGAATGGCAAAATTTTAAACTTGGGCTTCGGTTTTTAGAGCCTGGGAGTCGACGTGTTTGCTACTGTGAGGTCTCTTGTCTTTGTTCCCAAACACGATAATTTGTTTTGTCCTTATTTAATTAAAGAAATTCATGCCTCATCCTATTATTTATGTGCTCAATACATTGACACAGTAAGTCTATTGTACTGTACTTCTGTTGTACTTCTACTATAATTATCTGGTGAGAGAACCAAATATATCTGCATATATCTGTTGTTGCTCTGTAAAATGTTGCCCAAAGGAGCATTTAGAGAACAAAAGAGGTCCAAGAACTGATCCCTGGGGGATTCCACGTCATAGCCACCTTATCAGATCCATAGCTGCCGTTAACTTCGGCCTTCTTAATAAAAGCTGAACCAATTAAGCACTGCTGTTTCTGATCCATTTGTACCAGTGCAACTCACTAATATACCACCATTATTTCAGTGTCACTGCTGAGAATGATCCACCACCCAAATAATACCTGCCCTGTGAGGGTCCTACAACCTTTAATTGTAAAAACACAAAGTGCACCTATAAGGTAAGTGGACCTGATAAAATGGACAATAAGTTTAGATGCAAGGAAGATTGAACCAATAAAGTGGCCAGTGAGTCTACACAACCTGCAGTGGCGAATCGTGACTATTAAAGCTCAACCTTTAATTTGGAACCATAGATGTCCAGATAGAAGAAAAAACACCTCTATGATAATGCTGTTTTTGCTAGCGCCACTATGGGACTCTAGTAGTATGTTAGTGCTAAGCTAATGCGCAATGCCCATTTACATATTTGAAGCTTATAAGAAATAAATTAACATGTATTTTTCTTTCTTTGTAGCAGTTTTACAGTGACTCCTTATGGAGTCATCGAGCTGACATAGAGCTGCTGCTTTTTTACATTTCTAACAACTAACTGATACCTGTTTGGACTACCACTCATATTTGCAGTCTGTGATGTATTCTGTGACATGTGTAGGACTTCCAGATGGCCTACAGTGATGTTTTTTTTCACAAAATTGGTCCCACTCATTGGAAATCAAAACATTGTTGCTTGATGATACCACTGTCAGTTTCTAAATATGTCAGTAGTTAATTTATCATGTAAGGCCTTCAGTCCAGCTCCTGAAGGTTAGCAAGTGGGAGAACTTGACTCTACCTATAGATCTACCCAGATACCACAGGAAAAACTACTAATTCTGCATTTTTCAACTTTTTTATTTTAAGAATTTAACCCTT